GTTTGATTCAAACTTCTTACAACAAGAATGATATTCAGCTACAACCTTGTGAGGATCTCGGCAAACACAGGACCAATGGTTCTTTGAACCACAACGATAGCACATATCCACATCCATGGTTTCAAGTGCTTTGCCCTTATTCTTGAAGTTTAGGGCCTTAGGAGCAATGTTAAGGCGCTTCTAGGCTCGATTTCCTCCTTTAGATAGGCCTTGGCTCTGTTGATCTTTACGAGGTGGCTTCTGGTGGCCTATACCATGCCTCTTTTGGCGTTTTGGGCGTTGGTTTGTGCTATAGTGTGCTTCAGGCACAGTATTCGCCCCAATAGGTCAAGTTTGATGATTCTTCATCAATAGCTAATTCTCCTTTTCAGCAAGAAGTAAAACAAAGATCAAATCTGAAAACTTAGTGAACTTCTGAGCTCTATATTATTGATGCAGGACAATATTAGTAGTAGAGAAGGTCAAATAGGTCTTCTCCAGAAGATCCTTTTCAGTCAAAGTTTCATTACAAAACTTAAGAAGTGATCAAATTCGACAAACTTCATCATTATATTCATTCACAGATTCATTCACAAACTTAAAGTTTTGGAAGCGCAAATGATGCTAGTCATGTCTTGCTTCAGGCAAGAAGATGTCCTTTTTTGTGATCAAAACGATCGGCCAAAGCGACCCATAGTGCTCATGAATCCTCCTCAGCAAGGTACTCAGTTTGCAGGGCATCATGAATAAGTCTTCAAATAAAGATCATGGCAGTGGCTTTTTTAGCTTTGCCAACCGAATTGTCCGTCTCATCTTCAATGGCGAGACGCAAATTTTTTGCAGTGAGGTTGAGCTTCACATCGTGGACCCACTTGAGGTAGTTCATTCCAGAGACCTCCAAAGCAGTGAAGTCGAGTTTGTTCAAATTCGACATGTTCCTATCACAAAATAGATGGACAAGATGTGGTTAATGCAATGGAGAAAAACTATCAATCCATTCACATAGGAGTAGAAAATTCGGGTTCTAATAGACATGTATTGGTTAAAATTTGCATGAAAAACTTCGGGTTTTCATGGGTGAGAATTTTAAGGAAAACTTCAGGTTTTGAAATAATTATAAACTTCAGGTTCATATGTTCCTGTAGATAAAGCAAATATATATACAGAAATATGCAACAAGGAAATATGCAAATAGAACTTCAGGTCTATAATTATAATTGAATTAATTATTTGGACTTTGGACCAAATTTAAAGCCATGGGTGGGCTGAGTAAATCTCTGATGTGAAGTCCAGGCCCAGATTGGGCTAGAATTGTCTCAGGTGAGTTGCAGGACCAAGGCAAGAGAGAAAAAAAAAAAAGGCAAAGGAGTGCCCATTACAGGGCACATATCCGATGCATTGGGGACACCATAAAACCTAGGTTGTTGTCATATTTTGGACTAGGTCGGTTCAGGCGAGCCCAGTGAAGAAAATCCTTTTTTTTTTGTACGGGCCGAACTAATGGTTTGGACCGCTACAGGCAAGCCCAAAGAAAGAAAAAAAATGTAGACCAAGATGTCAAAGCCCAAATTGGGCATGGGTTGGGACCAAAAACACCCCAGCCATAGCTGAGTGCGCTCGCTGGGGAAGAAGACATACGCCACCACTTCAAGTGGTCGTGGTTTGGGATAACAATGCTAAAGGCAAGTTCGTGGGTCAATGGGGACCACGAATATGAATAGAGATAGAGAAATCTCAATGTTCTAACAACCAAACCCTAGAAAAAATTTGAATTGGATTTTCAAAAATTTCGATGAGATTCGAGTGAATCTTGATTAATAGTTGTCGGGGACGAGCTGCAGGTCGTCAAAAACGTTGACATGTGGGTGAGGATTGGCTGCAGGCCAACTTGCAACGGTGGAGACGCCATGGAAGGTGACGAGATTTCTGAGTTTTCAAACTTGGAGCCCTCAGCTCCGACTTGGGGTCTCGCAGCTCGGCACGACTCAGCCACACAGGCTGCATGCTGGGCGAGCGGCTCGAGGTCATGCATTTGAAGAACCCTAGCGTTTTTTTATTTCTTTTCTTTTTCCTTTCTTTTTTTTTCAATTCAATTCAATGCATATATAATTTGAATGAATGAACATATATTTGATGCAATTCATGGCAATATCAAATTCACATAATTCAACAATTATGAATATAATGCATAGACAATTTATGTAGATTCTAAAATTCGAAAAACATAAAGTTGGGTCATGCATTATGGTGAATGTTCATGCTATCAAGGCTGCAAAAATATCGAGATAAAAACCGTTATGTTTGGAAGAACCTGATTTTGTGATGATATGGATGAACTGGTTTGATGCAGAAAGCTTCCACGTCAGATTCCTAAGCGCAGCGAAAAGAGCGTGCTGATAACATGTTATAGCCTATTTTACCTGACTAAGGGAAAAGGGTCGGCGGCAAGGAGAGATTGTGGAGAGAGATGTCTTTGTAGAATGTAGGGGAATGTGTGTGTTATTCCTCCCTACATAGTGCCTTTATTGATAGTAATAAGGGAGAGAAGAAATCCTTCATCCCCTAGGAACAAGTCCTTTCGCAATCACACTTAAATTAGGAAAGTTTACAACATTCATGAATTTATTAGAATTATCAATGTTGAGGGTCCACAGCTTTCAGCCCAATCTGGATTGCACCCAAGAGCTTTTCTCTCATGTGCATATGTGTTGTACACATGGCATGGGCTGCGCATATCCCAATTTCATTAATACATAGAGCGACTCGAACGACATAAACATGATATTGCAATTGAATATCAACGTCATATTAACAACGTGAGAGAGTTTAAACCCAACTACGCAAACGCCATATTACAACGACAAAATTGATCTACATTCCTAACAATATATAGAAGGACGAATGACGAATACAACTATGTAAAGTTTTTCTAATTTACACTAAGAAAATAAGAAAAGTTTGAACCCGGAACGCAATAATTTGAAGAAGAAAACAGTCACCAAACCAATTAATTACTTGCACATAAAGCTATTATTTTCCTAACAGCAGCATGCAAATTCAATCTCACTTTTTCTCTTCTTTTTTTTCCATTTCCCGGAAGGATACAGCTCGCAAATTAGTCACGAATGACAAAAAACACTATAACGAAAAGAAAAAAGAAAAAACCTTTAAGAGAACCATGCATACTCAGGCATGCCTATAAGCTTCATCCTTAAAACCTATTTTTAGCAACAGTTTAAGAGCATGTTAACTAGCAAGGAATGGGTATCATTCCGCTCACGTGTTTACTAACAACCAAATAAATGAAAAAGTTGGTGGGTCGCATAGGATTTGAGTAAGTTGAAGATATCCCATTAACATAAAGAATGGTTGTTTTTCTCATTCTCATTCATTTCTCATTTCGTTTTATCCTCATTCTTTCTCATTCATGTACCACGTAAGTAGATGTGTCCTAAAAACTGTGTAGGCTCGATTACAAATACTCGTTTTCAATGACCAAAACTTGCCATATCCCCAGTAGCAAATAATGCAAGAGTTTCTTGTAGTGATATCTGCTGTGCGACATTTCAAAAGAATGGTTCGTTAGTTGAATGTGTGGCAGCCGCGGCAAAATGTGATTTAGTTGAACACGAAACGAAAAAAAGGTTCGTTGCTTTTAGTCTGTGATAATGCAAGTGATGTGTACTTAAGTTTAGCACAACCAACTATTTGATAATTGACCACAAAAATAAAATAAAATAAAATAAAAAGCACCCAATCTATTACTTTTTTTTTTTTTTTGGGGGGGGGGGAAGAGAGAGACTATTTAAAAAATATAATGAAATGTCACTTAGGCTTGCATTTCTAAGAGCATCAACTCTGCACATGCAAATTAGTCCCTGCGAAATGGACTGAAAGACCGGGTCAATTGAGAAGAAAATAACAATTGCAGGAGATGGGTTAACTTGAGGAACAATTTTGTGTATGCTGACTTCGTGTGAAAAAATCTTACTTCTATAACTTCAGAGACTTGGGACGACATTAGGGTTGGCCATTTTGATAATGAGTCAGTACTCGTGTCATTGTGTAGAATAAAAAAGAATTTGGAAAATTTTGGAGCCGACACGTGAACTTTTATCCACAATTAACAAGAATGTCATCTTTAATTGGCGAGGTCCACATTCGTTTCACGTGCAATTCAATCACCAAGAAAACCTGAGTCGCTAAGTACAACTTCTCCAATATCCGCCTGCCCATGGCAAAGAGACAAGGCAAGTGAATTAAAGATAGAATTAATAACTAATTCCTACCTTTTAAGCTTTCTCAATTGAAGAAATATTACTTTACTCAAGGAAGCCCGATCACATCCAATCAAGAAATTTCTAAGATAAGTCTTGGGATATTATTAATTAACTTTAATAATATCCTCAAGGATTATCCTTGGGACTATCATTGCACAAGTACAACTCCACCCATCGGATGACATAACTTGGACAATTGGAGGTCAACATGTGGTGTGGAATTCTCCTCCTATGTGGTTGGCCATGCTCCTATAAATACCCCCTCATTGTACACTTGTCATATAAGTTGAAGTTAACTCTTTATAACTCAACCCTAAATGTCACTATCTTTTCAGGAAAGTTGACTTAGGCATCAGAGTTCATTAGTAAAACCACCCCCACCCCACAATCCCCTTCTATGGGCATGTGGCTTTAGCCTTTAAAAAAAAAATTACTATTATTAGGGAGAGAGAAGAATTTGAAACTACTATTATAATAATTTAAGAGATGAAGAGTTTTAAAACAAGACATGGATAGTGTAAAGTTCGTTCATGAACTCAACTGCCTCGCTGTGTAGTGGAATAAACGAAGTAGCGAAGCCACCATCATCCTATTCTAGAATCTATGGGCAAAGTCCAATGACTTTGCTAAGATTGACCATGCTTGTTCCACAATTATACGAAAACCTAATTCAACAAGGAATCAACATGTTTCTGATAATCTTGGAGTTCTTACAATCTAAAGATTGGCGTGCGTCGCAAGTAATTAGACTCAGTATCTATTCATATATATCCTCTAGTATTCTCTCAATTTAGTAAGGATTCTACTATCCTAAAACATCCTGTCTTCGATTGGTATAAATACAACCTTTTAGGATTCATCTCATGTAACACAATAGCATACATATTCTCTTACCTACTACTTGAGTCTTATACTACATATCTATTCTCTTGTCCACTGCTTGAGGCTTTGACAGACATGCTACACCTGCACCACCACTGGACGTGACACCTTCTTTGAAGACGGGGACATTCTCGCCATGGACAAAATTTGGCAAAGTTTGTCGCAAGTATATGCTTCAGTCGACATGCTTCGCATGACATCAATAACCAAACAATGAGGAAGGATCACTGACCTTGAGAGACGGGTGCAAGTTGTGGAAGATATCATGTTCAGACCCAAGCAAGAACCAATGTTCTGGGCTTTGGTGCAAAGTGTCGCCACCCCACTCCAAAAGCATCACGCAAGAAGTCCACAAAGACACCAAAATCTTCTGAAAACCAAGGTTCGGTGGAAAGTCCTATACTCAACGTTAACTGGATCTACAGGAGAAGGAACACATGGGAAAAACTAGGAAATAAAGAAAAGCCGCATGCAATAAGCTCAAGATGATGGCGACCATTAACAAACCTTTCCCATCAATTCTAACATCCTAATGTTCTCATATTGGGATGTGGAAGGTGTCTACTCCCCTCACGACGATGCATTGGTCATAAACAAATCTCTAATGCCTTAGTCAACCGTGTGTTGGTAGACAAAGGGTATAGGGTCAACATCTTCTTCAACCTAATGAGCACGGGAAAGTAAACTTATTTTAGGAAAGAAATCCGAATCCAAAATAGGATAGGAAACTAAATCTAATCCTAATCAAACTGGAAATAATCTTAATCCTCGTATAAATAGGAAATCAAACGACTAAAAATCTAAATATTTCTTCACCAAAAAACAAAATCTAAATATTTAAATACTAAAACCCGAGAGATTAAAAGACTAAAGCACCCATTGATTTAGGAAAGCCTTCACTTTGGTTCCGCAACACTTATTCAGAAGGAAGGAAATAGGGTGATATTTGAGAAAAGTGAAGATGTGGAGTGGAAAGTTGAAAAAAATGTCCTTAATTTCTTGCCAATTATTTGGAATGAGGAGTAGCTCTTTGTTGATGATTACAATCAGGGTAATTATAGTGTGATGTTTTTGTTTAGAGCATCTTCAATGTCTAACTCAACAATAATAGTAATAATAAAAATAAAAATAAAAAGACAATTGTACTGTTTTCCAATCGAGAAGCCAAATCTGATGTGGCATGACATGGAATAGCAACTCTCTCTTTTGCTGTCACTGTCAAATTTAACAGTAGTGTCAAATATTTTTTTTATTAATTTTTTTTATCAGATATGCAAATGCAACTCTCCTCTCTTACTCGAACCTGAGAAGCGCAACTTGTCCACTCTGCCATACCCCATCTTCACCGCCTGCTTCGCCACCGCTAAGAGCAACATCTTCCCCAGCCCCTTCCTTTATAGCAATTTACTCGAAGGACCATCTGCAGGAGCTGCTCAGCTACTTTCTGGAGCTCAACTCTGCATCCCATCACGATGTTATCATCCGATCATTCACACAAATCTGGAACGATCTCATCAGAGAAAGCGAGAAGTCGATGATCATGTGAATCCCAAATGGGTTCCACATGCCGCGGCCATGTGAAGCATTGAATTGATGGGAAAGTGGGGGAGGAGTAAATTCAGAGGAGTGGGGTAGGTTGGGAAAATTCATTACTCGTAAATTCAACGGAAAGGTAAAAAAAGTGAGATATTTGGTAGTTACTGGGTTTTTGCCATTTGGGTATTTAGTTGCAAGTGGTGGATGGATAGTAGTTTTGAGTAGCAATATGCAGGGTGTTGATGTAAAACCCTGGCTTCCCCAAAAAGGTGGAGTAATTTGGGAAAAACAGCACAAACCTAGCAACGACAGTGTCCCCGCCGTTGGATCTGAACAAATTGCGTTATGGGTCGTCGATCAGGAGGTTCAGATTGAGGGTTTTGATGATGGGTGGGTGGGCCGAGTTGCTGCACTGAAGGTGTTCGACGAAAGGCGTCTCAAAGACTTCGAGGACGAAGATGGTGAATGACTAGAAGGGAGAGGAGGTGAAGAAGGTGGATGAGAGAAAGGACTCGATGGTGACGAAGATGATAGGACAAGTCTAGACAGAGGGGAATAAAATAATAGTTTAATAAAATAAAAAGAAAGAAAATAGTGTAATAAAATAGTATTTAATTTGATATACCGGGTAGAGAGTAAAATTTTGAAAGATGTCAAAATACAATATAGGCTGTCAAATTCAAATTTTATGTTTAAAATTTGTCATTTCTTTGAGATGCTTTAAAGCTGTTTTTTTTTCTTTTTTCCTATTAATTTTGGAGTCACTTGGTATTCTCAGTATGTAATTGTGTTACGTCACTCTGTCCACTTTTGTTGACAGAAGCTTCTGATTTAATAAAGTTATGTTCTTGTCCAAAAGAAAGGTTATGTTTCTTTTGAAAGGAGAAAAATTTACAAATGACGTGAACTCGTTGGCGATACTTTATCTTTGCTTGTGGTAGTGGTTCGTTCATCGAGTCAGAAAACTTTCTTTTTCTTTTCTTTTTTTTATGTACAACAGGAAACTTTCATTGCCCCCACTCGGGAGTGATTCTTGGTAGGGTTGTCGCATGCGCTTGCTCTATACAAGACTGTCTCGTTCAAGAGGCATGCCATGGTTCCGATTAATTTTGGACACTAGTTGATTGCCCAACTTCTTCTTGCTATTTTGAACTTTGTTTTCCCAACCTAGTTGCCATTCTCACATTGGCACATTGGAGTTGACAATGTTGTTTTCTATTGTATTTGGTCATCTGATCCACTTCTTTACTTGTTAGAAAGTTGAGATACTTTGTTGATTATCCATGTTGTACCATTGCAGTGCCTCTTCATTGGCAGTGTATTTCTTCGTGAACGTGAAATGAGAACACTCTCAATTCAATTATTGAACAGTTTTCTAAGTTGTACCTACATAACGATTTCAACTGAAATTTCATGACCCCTAATATTATGATAAACTGAGTATACATCGTTAGGTTTTGGATCTTACATTCTTATTATTGTTGGAATTAATTATTGTTAAGATTTTCTTATGAATGTGTCATAGACAAAATCTTTAATTTTTAGAACTTTTTAAGGATTGTGTCCTTCGCCCACCCTACCTAGAAGATGAAAATACCAGGAATGAAGAACAATAATAAGTGATCTTCTCAATTATTAATTTATGAAGCTAATGGGATGCTTAACTTTCTTGCTCTTGCAGTGTTGGCTATCAGCGATTTCAGAATACCAGTTACGAAAATAAGGCGATATTATTATGAGTTGGGCATGCCTACCATAGATATATGAAGGTATGTACTCCGCATCCGTAACCATAGATATGCAAGTTAGAGCAACAAAAAGTTTGATAAATTACTCTTGTATCATTGGATGGGACACTCAAAAGTTGAAAACTTCGTCTGTGATTTAATATCTGAAATGATGCGGAACTCTTGTTCCTACAATGAAATGACATTGAGACCGATCGGACTCCTGACCTTTTGAATTCCGTTACTCCACATCAAAGCTCCAAACACAAAGCTTCCATTACTATTCTTGGTAGGAGTGAAATCTACCCCGAACCACATATTTTCCCCGTAGCTTGTAAACTTGAGTTCACTTGGTAATTGTAACATTTACACCTGCTGGATAATCCACATTTTCAACAAAGACTGTTGAACCTCTACCATAATAAGTAACAGTTCGATGAACAGAAAGCCTTCCACTCAATTTTGACACACCGATCGAAGGTAGTTAGAATTGTAAGAGGGGGTAGCAGTCTTCGGGCAGTAAACTAGACTTCCTGTGAGGATTTTCATTTGCAAAGAGGCAGCCCCTGTGCTGCAGAGAAATTTGATAACATCATGGGAATCAAGGGCATATGCTAATCGAGGATTAATTGCTGCAGCTGGGTTAATGTGTCCAGATCCATAATTGAAAGGAGTGGTAGGGGTTCCATTTGTATCTCTTCCAACGACACTTGTTATTATCTATGACGGTTGATGTGACAAAGAAAATCAATACTTCAGTGACCAGAAATTAAAATTTGTTAGGCTACTTTTAGACTATCTTCAATCCTTAGCCTAAAACTTAAAATTTTTAGTCTATAAAATTTAAGTTTGAATCCAGTAACAGCTTTTATGCTCTTATTATTTTATAAATATATTTTTTAGCTCCAGATTATTAAAGAATGAATTTAGGCTTTTTTTTTTTAATTTAACTTTAAAAAAAATTATGTAGACTATCCTAAATTAATTTTATGAACATTTAACTTAAAAATATTTAAATTCCAATAAACATTTAAAAATCACTAAACCGACACATGAAACTCATGAAACACTATAGAAGAATATGAAACACATGATAGAGATGTATAAACACAAGACACATGAGCAAACACATGGTTTTGGAAGATGGTAGAAAGAAAAATTGGAAGAATTGTAGGAGAAAAGTGAGTTTTGTGTGGATGTTTCAACAAATATATAGGTATTTATAGAGTTTTTTGGTGAATTTTGAGTTAAATAATTATTTATAATTATTTTAACCATTGAATTTAAATTTGGGCATTTATATCTTTTTTTTTATCGTTAGATTTGACCATATTCCATCTCAGCCGTTGGATTCAATAAATTTATAAATATAAAACAAACATATTAACTAAATTAAATGTGGACTGTTGGATAACCAACAGCCCATTTGAATGTGAGCCGTTGATCAACCAAACAAGTGGGAGACACGCCCATGTGGTTGGGGGCTCGACCACTAATTCTGGCCTAAATCTGGCTTTTTTTTAGGTTTTAGGTTTTAGGTCCAATTTTTAAGCTAGGTTGGAATAGGTTGGGGGGAATAGAAAGGGAAAAATAGGTTTTAGTACTTGGGTTGGAGTTGGTCTTACAATGGAAACAAATTTTAACTGTAGTAACTTGTTGTCAATTATTGCAGACATTGAGCAGTTCCAGCATGGGAACCCTCCCCCCAGGCACTACATTATGTTATCCACCCAGTGAACAATAACTGCCTTAATGAACAGTAACCGCCTCTTGCATCTCCACCGTTGCACTTTAATAACCCTGGCAATAGGTAATAAAATATTAGTATTTTTCTTATTTATAAAATAATACAAAATAATTTTATTTGTAATTCCGGATAAGATTTTTAATCGTTCTCGTTGCGCCATGTGTCATTATTCGAAAGGTTATAAAATAATACAAACTAATTTTATTTGTAATTTCGAATAAGATTTTTAATCGTTCTCATTGCGCCACGTGTCATAAAATCCGAAAAGATAATTATTGGTGATGGATTTCCGATAAGATTTTTAATCGTACTCGTTGCGCCACGTGTCATTATCCGAAAATACAATTATTGGTGATGGATTTCCGATAAGATTATTAACCAATCACATTGCGTCACGTGTCATAATCTGTTTACAATCTTTGAGGATAGATTTCCATCAAATTTTTAACAAATGACGGCATGCCACATGGCATTATCTACAACCTAATCCTTTCTGAATCCTCCATATAATTCGCCATCCATCCTCACAAATCTCACACCAATTTTCTCAAGATCTCTATCATTATTCATAGTTTCTACTTCCTTTTTCACCAAAATCTCTATCATTAATCATAGTTTCTGCTTCATTTTTACAATGTCTTCTTCTTCAAGGATGTTGTGGGAAATTGATCAGCAAGAGGAAGAATTGTTTAACCAATCAGAAGGAATGTTCAATCTCCAGGTGGCCCAAAATGAAAAGGAAGATGATGAGGAGTGTAGAAGGAGAGATGACGAAGCAAGAATGGGCAAAGCCTCACATTCCCGTCGAGTCATCCAAGCTGTGGGTCAGATCTGCAGGCCCAGCCGTTTCGGAAACCTTGATAGAAGCAGGCAACTACGAGGTACGAAACTCTTGGACGATTATTTTGTCCGTAATAGTGCATTCCCTTATACGTACTTTAGACGTCGTTTTAGAATGGAACGACACTTGTTCAACAAAATCATGATTGCTGTTTGCAACCATGATTCTTACTTTGTGCAAAAGAATGATGCTTTTGGTGCTATAGGTCTCCTTCCTCAGCAAAAAAGTAATGCTGCCTTGCAGATGCTTGCATATGGAGCATCTGCAGACCAAGTGGATGAGATAACGAGGATGGGAAAATCAACCATTCTTGAGTCCCTGATGAGGTTTTGCGGAGCAATCGAATCTATCTACACCACAGAGTACCTCCGGAAACCTACTAACATGGATTTGCAAAGGCTTCTGAAGAAGGGCGAGATGCGAGGTTTTCCTAGGATGATTGGAAACATCGATTGTATGCACTAGACATGGAAAAATTGTCCAAGTGCATGGCAAGGCGCTTATGGGGACAGAAAAAGAGCAAAAAGTATCATTTTTTAGGCGGTGGCATCTTTTGATACATGGATTTGGCACGCCTTTTTCGAGGTTCTAGGAGCTCAAAATGACCTCAACGTCCTTGCCCAATCCCCAGTGTTTAACGATGTCCTGCAAGGAAAGGCACCAAAAGTACATACTGCGTCAACGGACGTATGTACGACAGGCCATACTGCCTAGCAGACGGCATTTACCCAAGGTGGTCAACATTTGTCAAAACAGTGCCACGTTCGCGAAGTGCAAAGGAAAAACACTTTGCAAGCTATCAAGAGGGGTGCAGGAAGGATATGGAGTGTTGTTTTGGTATCCTTCAAGCTCGATGGGCGATCGTCAGGGGTGTTGCCAAATTGTTTGATGTAGAGTCGCTTCGACCCATCATGATGACATGCATCAGTCTTCACAACATGATTGTGAAAAATGAGTACGATTATGATGTCGTTGATGAATATGAGCCAGACATGATGAACAATTCAAGAACACGTATATATTGTGCTCATGCCACCACCAAAAAACCCGTGCAACATGAGCCATTAGAAAGAGATGGACGTTACAATGAATTGATCATTCAACGATATATTGCACTTCAAAGGCCATATATGCACAATGTCCGGCAAATTGATTTGATAGAGCACTAGTGGGAATTGAAACAAGCTCAAAATACTTAAGTTCATTTAGTGTGTTTGTTTTTTTTTTTTTTTTTTTTTTTGCTATGTTTATTTAATTTTATTTGGTATGTTTATTTAATTTTATTTCGTGTGTTTCTTTTAGTTCATTTAGTGAGTTTTTTATTATTTGGTATGTTTATGTAATTTTATTTGGTGTGTTTAAATGTCTTTTGAATAAAGATTATCTTAGTATAAATAAATTACCAAATTAAATAAATATTCTCTTAGTTTAAATAAAGTACTAAAATCAATAAATTGGAAACAACATAAAGTACTTTATTCAATAAATAAGAAATTACAACCCAAAGTGATTGGAAAATTATGGGCTCCGATTACAAAAAGTACTCTATTCATCATTACTTAACCAATTTCTGGTGCTAGGATAATCTTCTTTTGTTGTGCTAGGACCATCTCATCTTGCTGTCGCTTCTCTTTGCACACCTCCTTTGCACCACTTCTGCTTTCTCCGACTTCCAAAAATATTTAAAATTTAGAGACTTCCCTTCTAAAGGTATCTTCATAATGTCACGATCTCGTTGAGTCATTCTTTCTTTCTAACATGTTCCCTTTCTTGCCTAAGTAGCTCTCTTTCTCTCTCATTAGCTTGAAATGCTCTCTCAACAGCTGCAGCATTTGCCTCCTCTCTAGCCTTATGAGCCTCAAATTTCGCCATTTCCCGTGCCAAAGTCAATTCACCTTGGCAAGCAAGTTCTTCCATGTACTTTGCACAATCATTCTTCGAAGCACTCCCTTTTCTCTTTGAAGCCTTCTTACCTTGAGGACTAATTGGATAACGGGTCGATCCCGACGCTTGTTCAGGGGGGCATTTCGGGCACTTCTTCTGCTTCATCTTCATGAACATGCGAGGCATGATCAGGTATAGAGTGTAGAGGGGTGCTGTTCATGAAAACTTCTGGACCGACATGCGCAACTTTGAATTTAGGACAATCTTTGACAATATTCCAACATTCCTACCGGTTGAATGATTTATTTTTGGTTTTGGTTTTGGCATCATACCAAGCTTGTGCTTGAAGTTGCTACACAATGCGGGATAAGAAATAATTGTAATGAAAGTAGGTAACAAATAAATAATACAAACAAATAATTATAATGTAAATTTGGGTATAGTACAAACAAATAAATAATATATTGTTACCTAATCCGCGTAATTTTCCCCACTTCGAAGATTAGTACTAGTTTGTGCCAAGACGTCTCTCCACGTACTAAACGATTGGCTAAGTAATTTCCAATGACTGGACATCGATTCTTTGGTTCTTTTCCCACCCATTTTCTCAAGATGATCAGTATGAATAAGACTCCACATTTCTTGCAACTGCATCTCACTACCCATAAGCGAACTATGAGTAACTTCAACCCAGCTAGTACACAACGCAACATCTTCAAGAAGCGTCCAATTCATAACTGCATCAGTAGTCATTTTGTTGAAAAAAATTGGATTGAAACTTTGAGAGAAAAGATAGAAATGTGGTTGAAAGTAGTTGAGAAAATATGAAATTGTGATGTAAGGTAGATGATAATGAGAATGTATTTATAGAAAAGTAAAAACAATTTTTTTCAGATTTTTATTCATTTTTTACAATTTTTTATACTTTTTTTATTCAACTAATTAATCTATGCAGTTGGATTTTAAAAAAAAAATTGAATTCCAACACTCCAGATTGTGCCATGTGGCACAACGGTAACATTTTTGAATTTTAAAACTATTTTTCTTTTTTTTTTTATTATTTATAAAGGAGAATAATATCAATTGTTGATCTCAGACGGTTGATATTAAATAAGATTTTTTAGTTTTTTTACCGTTGCAAATCAGACGGTCCACATTATATAGCCGTTGAGATCCAAGGGACCATGGGAAGCCACGTGGCTTCCCAACGATAACTTTTTGAAACTGTGCCGCACGCCCCAGGCGCCTGAAATCGTGTCGAGTGACGTGCCCCCATGCGAGGGTGAGGTGCACGCGCCTGACAGAAATAAATAAAAAATTGGGCTGACGCCTGGATGACATCAGCCCTGCGTCAGATCCACTTCGAGCTCACGGGCTAGCAATTCCTCACAGGCTTAGTGCTCAGGCCTCCACTGTCCCTCGGGCTCCCCTCGCTAGAGTGTGTAGGCCGGGCTCTCGGGCCATTTTGTCCTGGCCTGTCCCCCGAGCAAACTCCCATGCTGGAGCTGCTCTTATGGCTGCTGGACTCCAGGACGGTTGGTATGATTTAAAAATTGCTGCAAGTGTAGATACATGCGAGCAAGATATCGAGGTGCCGGAAATTTTGTTATAATTGACAGCGGTTACCACCAGAGACCATGCTGCTAAAACATTCACCCCTGATCCTGTAATATCTGGCTGCAATAGGAATTTGCACGGTTAATTATTTGTTCGAAGTCATTTGTTCATTTACTCCTACACAAGATGCACTGATGATTGCCTTTTAAACCCATCGCCCCTACACAGCCCCCACTCTCTCCACCAACAACACCCCCCCCCCCCAAATTCTTGTAAGTAGTTTTGGGTATTTGAGAAGAGAAAATAACGTTTCATAGAACTTACTTTGTGATAATGTCTGGCGTTGTGATATTTGGCCCCATGGATGAGAACACTGCCATTTCTGGTGCAGGTTTAGTTTGCTGAACTGTTATCGTCGGGGAGATTCTAGCAACGGATTCCTGTAATAACAATACTACAAAATTTCTAATCGATGTAAAACTTCACCATAAGCTTAGTAACACTGACTTGTTTGATAACTATAACTCTCAGTTACGTATTTGCTTTTCTAATTAACTGTTGTTTCTTCGATTGACAGACATTTGACATTTGAGCAAGCAAGGGCTGAACAACTCACTTTTCTGTCATCATGTATGCTTTAAGCTCCTGTGCTTCTTCTTGACCAATTAGAGTGCCTGGGATGACAAACCGAAAGCCGACATCTTCAAGAAATGGATCAACAAGAATCATTCCCACACCACCACCTTCGTTCACAACTACGCTTCTTCCCTTCCGGTTATCAGTGAAGGTCTCAAAGGCGCACACCACGAGCAAAAGCCGATAGGAAACAAACAGAACATATCTGACCGTGAGCAAATTATCCCAGCTCATAGGTTTTTCATCTGCCTCAACATCAATAGCAGCTGCAAGGAAATCATCTCGGGTGTCCAATATCGTTATAGCGGTTAACGTTAGAATCTTACCAATAGGGACTTAAGAAACTGTCAAGTTACCTATAGACGTTCTTTAACTTTCTTTAACAACTAAGGAGGTATTTAGGTGACTTTTCTTTCGTTTTTTGGCTTCCGTGTTTTGGGGTTCGGGTTGGGATGTTTTGGGAGGTTTAGACCTTGGTCGTAAGGAAAACTTCCCTACAAGTTTCAAGGGAAGTTAAAGTTTTGTCCGGGCCCCGGGGCCTTGTTAAACTCCCCTGTGAAATTAGCATCAAATATTTGAAAAGAAAAACTACCTTGCATTCTTTGCTGTCCGGGGCCTTGTTAAACTCGCAGCTATTCCAACATTTGATCATCCTAGTTTCCTCTTATATTTTTGAAACTTACTAGTGTTGTCACTGTTCTCTTGCTCATTTCTTTGCCCATGGAGCCACTGCTAATATTTTTTTTTTTTTTAAACAAACAATATTATCTACACTAGATGGAGGGGGTGGGCTTATCTTTACAATAGGGCTAGCAATAATGTGGTTCAAATTCATCTTTGGCGAGAATCGAACTTAAGACCTCTCACTTACAAGTAAAGAAGAATACTACTATACTGTACTACTAAGTGGCTGAGCCATTGCTAATATTAGCATCAAATATTTGAAAAGAAATTTAGTCCTCGTGGTGGACATACACTTCTGTTTCATTTTTTTTTTTTTTTAATAAATAATATAATATCTTGGTTTTTTTAACAAACGGTATTATTTACACTAAAGGGATAGGAAGTGGGCTATTAATAATGTGGTTCAATTTGCTTTTAACGTTCGAACCTAGACCTTTCACTTACAATTGAAGAAGAATATCACTGGACCGTAGTACTAATGCATACAAAGATTCAAAGATTTCCAAATGTAGCTTCCTCACAATTCACACATTAGACTCCAAGACTAATTCAACCAAATATAAGACACAAGTATAGTTTTTGGTAGATTGGAGTAAATAATTCACCAAATTCAAGAAATGCTAAAATTAATTTGGAATGCTAAAGTAAAAAAGGAACGTCAACTTTCAAATTTTATCCAAGCTATTGGAACATAGAATGGTTATACAGTGGAATGGGATAATTTTCCTTCGTTTTACTGAATTTTTGCAAGGGATAAATCTCCATCATGGGATTCATCTTGACAAAATCCGACCTTTATCTGGTATCCAATCCAATCCTAGGTACCAAACGTGTCTTACAAATAGATATCAAATTTCCTACGTGTTAAAACATAACGAGATACTTAAAAAAAAAAAAAGGAAATTATAATGAAATAAATCAAACAGTAAGAGATACTAGCACGGACTTCAAATAGTAAGGATTTGGAGAGGGTAATTGAATCCCAGATCATGGAACTCGGCCGGACTCTGGACCCAATTCCTCCGACGGCGCATCCACTCCTGAAACAAACATATCCATTACAAGCACACGAGATTAACTGAGAAACAAATTGCAGAGGATCAGAGGAATGCCGGTGAAGCAACTAACTCGACTTTCAACTTAAACTGATGCACAAGTCTTCATGTTAAATCATTCACAAGATACTAAAAATTTGACAACGTACAAAATCTTAGACGAAACCAGAACGAACACATTACAGTGACAACTGCTCACTAGATAAAATACGACAGGAATCAAAGTAATTGTCCGAAGATATCTGTAAAACTCGACAAACAGGGCGACAAACATTATTGACATATCAACTGAAGCAATACTTTTTCAACTGTCATTTACACAATTTCAAAACAAGCGATTCAAGATGTATCAAACACCAGTGTTTCCATCTCAATACAGAAAAGGGAAGTCAAGTCACCTTCCTCGTTGAAGAAACTAATTCAGAGTATGTAATTCATTAAATCCAGCACTTCGTAAAGTACAAATCATGGCGATGACGACAAGTGCGGATTGATGTCATATATAAATACACAGACTTCATCACCCTTCCTCTCCAAACTCTCTTGTGAACCTCTCATGGACGTCAAGGTCACTTTTGCTCACTGTAGGCCTCTGTTTAGCAAGCACCTTATCAAAATCTACTTTTGTGATAGGAGGCGGAAGGATCTGCAAGGCATTTAATAAGAAAGAAGAATTACATTGGTGAGTTTTAAACATTGAACATAATTTTTAAAAGGAAAAACTTCAAATTTGTTCACCTGACCATTTAATGGAGTTCCTTTTTCATTTGCATGCATGATTCGTAGAATAGTAATTTCTTAAAACAATGAAAATTTGGCAATCCTTTTAGGGATGATTTCATTCCAAGTGAAATTTATCTCTCAAAATGATAACATGAACTATTAAGTCAGGAAATTTAAAAAAAAAAACAAAAAAAAAACCCGTCTATAAATAGAAAAACACTTCAAGAACTCAATAAACTATTCACTTGTTATTCATAGTTGCAAAATCAGAACAGTGTTTTCTGCATTCGGTTTTATGTGTTCTTGTCTAAAGTGTAAGTTTAGCTGCTTATGAAGGGCTTGTAAATGAAAAACCCAATAAAAATTACCCATTACTTCATAATCTGGTATTTACACTGTATGTCCAGAATTCAACAGATCAGCAAATACAAGAATATTGAGCCAAAACAGGTACGCAAGTTTATGAACTCCAGCATTCAAACATGTACAGATACCTGTGAAGCGAGTCCTTTTGCCGCCAGCTCCTGCATGGTGATTTGGACAGCACCTGGTTGCTTTGGTCCACATGGTATCCACATATCCCTAGGATCCTTGATAAAGAACATGGCATCTTGCGTTTTACGAACAGGTTCAAAGAGAACATCTTTAACCTGCCAATTTTAGAAAAGAGCAAACCAAAAATACCAAACAAACAGGCGATGTTGTGAGCTATTCTCAATTAACCCTTTAATGCAAGGAACACTGCAGGTAGTCGAAAGACAGAGATGCACACAGAAATGTGAATGACTTGTGCTTACACAAACAGCAATATCAGAACCCGAAAAACCATCAGTTTTGCGAGCTAAGCTTTCATAATCACTTTCTGTTAAGTTGTGAGGAGTATCTCCTAGATGAACCTATTCAGAATATCCACCAAAAAAAAATAAAATTAAATAAATAAAAATAAAAAATAAAATAAAATAAATAAATAAATAAATCACAAAGGGTTAGTATGTGTTTAAAAGCCATAACAATTATCAATCACTGGAACCCGTAAATTTTATTTTATTGCCTGTTTCGTAAAAAGAAAATGGATACAAAATTAAAGGAAAATGTAAAGTACTTTGAACATATGCTGACGAGCCTTTAAATCTGGGAGGGGAATGTATATACGCTTGTCGAAACGGCGCCGAATGGCCTGTAAGTACTACCAGTTAGCCACCTTCGTATAATGCCTCCATTAATTAGGGAAGAAACCATAAAAGAAAATTTCACATATATCTACTTACCTGATCTAGTGCATATGGAGTATTTGTTGCTGCGAGAACAAGAACTTTCTGATCATTGGTTCCCACACCCTAATATACATCACAGATAAGATCAACTGAAAACATGAATGACTTCAAACCAAAAATAAATAAAAGAGTCTCGGAATAGCAATAATAATCCAAAACTAAAAGTTTGAGGGCCTCAAAAATATAGTGAAGGCGCCTTACTACACTAATTCCCACAAAACAAACATACCTGCATCTGCACAAGAAGTTCCGTCTTAATTCGTCTAGAAGCTTCACTCTCATTGCCTTCTCCACGAGTCCCACACAAGGAATCTATCTCATCGATGAATATAATGGATGGTGCACTATCACGAGCCATTTGGAAAAGGTTTGAAACTAGCTTTTCACTCTCACCCATCCACTTTGAAACCAGGTCTGAAGAAGAAATACTAGCAGAAGAAAATGGAACATTAAAGAAGCAATTTATAAATCATCAGGAAGAGACATCTGGAAATAAAATGGAACAAAAGTAAAGGAAGCATAAGCACAAGCACAATATATCTAAGTCAAGTATACTTGGAACAAAAGTTTTTCTGTTCTCAACTATAAGCACCGGGGGAGCTTAAATTGAGTCCAGGTCTCAAAATAAAGGCACTGGGACCTCAAAGACAGGAGCTCAGGTAGGTAATACGAGACCTTGATGGCTTGGGTTAAATTTCTTGCTTATAGCCCGAATATGTGAGGGTACTCAATAAGGAATGGATTGCTTAAGGCAATATTGTACCATCTAACCCCTTGAGCCAACCTCGCTTTATATGATCACGTGCTTTCTATTAGAGAGTATCAACCAACTTTTAATTAGTTAAATTTTAATTCATCACATAAATGATGGATATATTACCTGAAAAATGTCGAGTCCGCCTCAGTTGCAACAGCCTTGGCCAAGTAAGACTTTCCAGTTCCAGGAGGCCCATACAATAGAAAAGCCCTCCATGGCCGTCTCTTGCCTAAAAGTATGTAAGTGGGTACAAATTAGCTTTTATAGGATGAATCAAAAGGAAAGCTTCACTTCATAACAGATATCAAGCAGTTTAGATAATAATGATAAATGCACAAAAAGAGTGCTTCCAAATTAACCATGAAAATGATATGAGGAAAAATATATCATAATAATAAGGTAATGCTATCAACATTGATAACATATGAACTTTTGTTTCGGAAGTATCAATTATTTATATGTCGGATAATAAATTGCAAACCCAACTAAGGTAAAGACATATAAACTATCGAAGACAAAATTCCCCACATATCAGAAAATATAATGCCGAATACCCCAACATTACTCAAGGCAATAATGCAGCACCAGCAACACTTAGAACTAAAAACCAATTACAACCCCATATTGCTTTAGCCATCAACAGTATATAATTCACACTCCGTGTTGAAACCGTAAAAATCCAATATTTACCCTAAGTTTAACAACTACCCATTACAAATTCTAAATCAAAAATCTCAACTTTCTAGCTAAAGTCAATATATCAAAATTGAAGCAAACTATTATCACTGTCAAAACAAAAGGGAAAACCCATCTATTACCAGTAAAGAACTGCGGGAATTTGACCGGCAATATAACCGCCTCTTGCAAGGCCTGCTTGGCACTCTCCAAACCAGCAACATCATTCCATTGCACATTGGGCTTCTCCCTTATAATGGCCGAATTCAGCCCTGCCCGGAGCTTCGCCTGCTCCGGATCTTCCCCATCGCCGCCTTCCCCATCCTTGGGCTTGGTCTTGGGCCTGGTGGCCACAGCCGCATCCCCGTTAGACGCCGGGCCCGGCCCTCCGTCATCCAATACCGCCCGAATCTCCTCGGCGCGGCGCAAGTACTCGGTGAACTTCTGGGTAATTGCTTCCTTGATCTTAGGGTTCTTCTCATACTTCAAGTGGGTCTTGAAGTACTCCAACGCGTTCATGTACAAAGGGAACGCCTTGGCGTAATTTCCCGCATTATCTTCTTGCACGGCTTGCTTCACGTACTCTATCGCTTGCTCCTTGAAATTGCTATACATCTCTTTTAATCTCGCCTGACCGATCACACATACAGAACTCGGAACTCCGAAACCGGAATCGAAAAGGGGAAAAGAAACCCTAGAGTTCGAATAATTTCATATCGATGGGGTGAAAAATAAAAGGGGGTATCGGAGCCTGATTTGCAGGTGCTGAAGCCCTAGATTTTATTTTCTGATTTGTTAAGACCTGTTTGGTTATCGGGAAAATTAAAAATCGAAGAGCTTCGGATCGGATGGATGAAGAGGAGAGGGAGAGGAGGGAGAAGGGTTGTCCTTCCGTGTAACACTTTTGTCACGAGGACGCGTTTGGAAATTTGAAAAGTATTTGATCAAAAAGGATTTCAATTCAAGGGAAGGTTCCTTCTTTATTATGCCTAATTAAATTGAAGAAATTGGATTTTCATTAAAAATTGTTTATTAAAATGTTCTGAAATCGATATAAAAAAATATTTATTTAAAATTGTTCACTCATTTAGTAGAATCAGAATATAAACTAATATGATTATTAAATTTTAACGTTCCGGATCTCTAAACTTGATGGATTAGGAAGAAGAGATATGAAAATGATCATTTCCCATAATTATAATATACCTGCAAACAGTGAAGAGAACTCATGACGTCCACAACCTTGTCATCACTCTTCCTAATTTCATGAAGAGGACGAAGGGGAGTTGCGATGAAGAGAAAGTGAGAGGGGCCATAGAATTTTGATGGGTTAATATGGAAGGCAATTAGAGCATTGATGAGTCAATATTATGCTATATATTTTACCTTAATCTTAGTATTATTTATTAGTTATTATGTGAGAATTTTGATACTTTGGTTTATATTCTAAATGTAAGACATGCGACCTCCTCTTGAGCAAAATATGATCAAACAGATGAATTTTGGAGTACTTTCAATTGGAGGATGTTTGTGAGTCTTTCAACTTATTCGTATCAAAGTGTCAAAATTTTCTATCAAGCGGATAATTTATGGTGATGAAATAAATGAGCAGTGCACACTACTGTTAAAGTGACATTTTGAGTTTAATTGGACTTTTTGGCGTCCAGGAAGATGTTTTTTGACGATGGACCCTTCTAGATATACGTTCAGGATATCTTAAACTTTAAAGATAGTTATCTTGAGCCCATTTTGGAGCTGTTTTGAGCCCATAAAGTGGCTGATCAATTTGCTGACAGATTTCCCATTATTCATTAGGATTATGTTTCCTAGTTTCTCTAAACTTATTATATTTCCTAGTTTTAGAAGAACTTTTATGGTAAGGATTTTATTTTGTAGTAGTATAAATAAGATTATTTAGCTATTAGGGTTAAAAACGCACTACTTTGGGGAATTCAGTTTAGAGAGCTTTTGACGATTGAAGTTTATTTATAAGGTGTTTTCTATCTATATTTTTAATAATATTGTACTTTTTAATTATGGTTCTACGTAACTAATCCTTTTACTAGGGTGAGGCTATAAGCCTTAGCTTTTCAGTTTGCTTATGATATTATGCATGCAAGTTTTGAATTATTAATCACCATGTTTGAATATGTCTAGTTATCTTAATGCATAGCTACCATTAGTATATTTATAAAAGTAATTTGATGCAATTTTGGTCGGAGGGTTTTTCCTGAAATTAGTCAAGGCTTCTTGTGGCTAATAATTGTAATTTCACTTGGGATTAATTGTGACAGCCCGTCCCGAATTATTTGTACCGCAGGTGTGAAAAGATTAAATTGCCCTTGGACGTTAGTTGGTGTTGTGGGGTGTCGGTTAGTTGTTTTTGGTTGTTGACTCAATAGGACACACACACCCATACCACTCTTCTGTGACTCTCTCTCTCTCCTCCCTCTCGGATTTCTTCCATTCCTTTACTATTGTACGGACGAACTTCAAAACCAACCATACACGCATGGATCGACGTCTAGAAGGTAAGATTTGAACTCCTTGCAAGTTTCTGAGTTCATATATACCATTTGTGAGACTTGAAACCTTCGAAAACCTCCAGAACCCTAACCCCAATTTTCATGCACTGTTCTTGCACTAATTATTGTGAGGCTTTTAGGAGTTTTTAAGGTCATAAGAAGCTTTAGAACGTCTTCACGAAGCTCAGGGAAGAATTTTGAGGTGTTTTGGATGTCGGGAAGCTCGAGTTCAGTGAGTTGTAGGTTTGGCCGATATATCGAAGGATTTTCTGGTGAGATCCCGTGGATTTCAAGGCTTGGAGGTGGTAAGGTTTTGTTCTACTCGTTGTAAGATTCATTTTGGTACAATTTTCATGAAATTTGGTTGAGAAATGAAGAAGATATGAAGATATGAAGATTTGAATATTTTCTAGTTTCCGGCGAAAATTCAAGTTGCAGACGGCGGCAACCGGCGAGGCTCAGAAGGCGGCAATTGGCGAGGCTTGCTGGAGAAGGAGATGAATATTCTGTTAGAGTTGACGGAATATTCTAACGGCGATAGGTAACGGCCGTTAACTTCTGTTAAGTTTTTAACGGAATATTCCTAACGGCCGTTAGGGCCAGTTAGGGTTTGGCCGCGCATGGCCGGCGCGTCTGGCCATGCCTTGGCCAGTGCGTGGGTGTTCAGAAAATTATTTTAAAAATATGGGGATGTTCGTGAGGTTGAGTAAATCACGTTGGTATATTCAAACAGCCCATTTGAACATTGTATGAGAAGTTATTACATAGTTTTGGTTATGTGCTTTAAATTGACGTTTTTATAGTTGTTTCGTATATAGGTGAGACCTATCCTGAAGACGAGCGCAGTCACTCAAGGCTTGGGGGCTACGACCTTTCCACATACCAGTGAGTGGGCTTTTGGTTTTCCGTATATACCTATATACTTGAGAGTTTTCCCAAAAAAATGAAATTGAATGTTTATATGTTTTAAAATGCCATGCAAAGTGTCTGCCTATTTATTTATGCATTAGTAGTTGCACATATGAATGTTTGGTGTTGCGGATGCACAGGTAAGTGCCAGCTAAGTTTATAGTTTATGGTTGTGAATTAGTAGTTATGTGAGATGCATTGAGAGCTCATAAACCTACACCCTGGTGTTAGTGCTCCAGCCCAGAGTTAGGGCACAGTCCTTCACGTGATGTTCACCTCCCGCACCACACGCTCATCTTGGATCCAAGTTAGGTGCACAGTCCTGTCGTACAGACCACTATAGGTGGTTCCGAGTCGTAGGTGATTCACGATTATTCGCACAGTCTTCACGTGATCGTAGCACTCGAGCGTATTTATCTACACCCAATCCTGTCGTACAGACCACTTTAGGTGGTTCCGATTCATGTGCAAGTATAGTTGTTGAGATGTGGATTCAAGCGTTAGATTCAGCCGTACAGGTCACGTTAGGTGACTCCGGCTGACATATCATTTGCATTGATTGATATCACCTAGTTTACTTATACTTTATGCTGAGAAATTCGTCATGGCATATTTATGAATGTTGTTATTCTGAGCATGATTTCGATATATTCATATATTCTATTTTCTGGGAAATTATACAGGTTTTACGGAGAGGGGTTAGAACTTTTGAGAATGAAATGATTTTGAAAACCTTTGTTTTTTCCCACTCACATTTTCTGTTTTGCGCCCCTCTAGGTTTTAGGTAGAAGCGCTTTGGTGGCTTACAAGGACTTTGACGGTGGTTCTGACAGAACAACACAAATGTAGGATCACCTTTAGATGTTGTGTAATTAGTATTCGTCCTACTGGACTGCACTTAGGCTTTTTGTGCTCTGATTATGTTTATCACACTTAGTCTTACACTAGCGTATTACTTTAACTAGTTTATCTAGTAGTTTGGTTTTTATTTATTCGCTTTTCTATTATTATTTATACTTCCGCACTGTGCACATGGCTACGTCACTCTCACGTGACACCCAGCACGTCTTGATTTCGGTCGGGGTGTGTCATTAATACCACGTCTTAAGGGTTGCATAGTTTTTTAAAGAGTTTTCATAAAGTTTAATGAGTCTTCCATATTTAAATTTGATCTGAATACCACAAACGAATTGCATGTTTGATTTATATGTGTTGGGTTCTTTCCCTGCTTTCTTCCACTGTTATTTATAGTCATTTGTAAAAAGAGAAATATTTATAGGAAATGCATGCTTGTGAAAAATACAATTGAATATCGGCATGCCCACTACTAATTGAAGATAATTTAAAACTTATTTCATTCCTTCATTACCAGCAAATTAATAATAAGTAAATTACTTTTGTAAAATTCGTATCCAGTTCACGTGAGTAATGGTGTGAAAGCCTAGTACTAGGGAGGAGGATTCTCTTCCCTTCCCTCCCCTCCTATTTGAACGGTTATGGTTTAATCACGTTAACATCTTATATTGATTTTTTTATAGAGACAATAAAACAAAAAACAATGTGTGAGATGATGAGAGGGAAGGAGATGAGAATAGAAGGTACTCAAGTTCAAAATGATTTTGCTTTTTGGTAATAAAAATAAAAAATAGTACAAGGTGAAGTATAATCATGTTAATAGAATTGCAAGTGGAATGGCACATAAGTTGGCACAATATAATATGGTTAAACAATGCAACATCTGGGTTAGTTTGAGAAGCCTCCCAACTTAATTGTAGACCTCTTGCTGGAGGATTACAAATATGTATTTGTGGTCTGGACTCTTTTATCTTTCGTCCAGGTTAAAATTCCGATCAGTTTTTATCAAGGTCCATTAAATCATCTTATCCTCTTTACACGAATTCTGAACATGATCAACGAAGATCATAATTTTTGCAAGGGACTTATGGTATGTATTAAATTTTTTATTTATTTTTTTATTTTGGTCAACATGGTATGTAATAGTTCATGATCATGAATAAAGTAAAGACCTCATACTGAGGATTTTGAACACATTGCAGTTATTTTATTCCTTAACTTGTACCACTTAATTAAATCACAATCGAGATGCATGTTTGTTGTTTTGCTCTAATTTTTTAAGCGTAAAAATAGAGAGACTAAATTTCTAAACCAAATTTTGTAAACCAATGATGTATATGTTGATGATTATTTTAGTGTTGATTAACATGCTTAATTTGTGACATCCCACATCGTCCAGGGGAGTGATCCTTATATGTATATTCCCATCTCTACCTAGCACGAGGTTTTTTGGGAGCTCACTGGCTTGGGGTTCCATCAAAACTCCAAAGTTAAGCGAGTAGCGTGCGAGAGCATTCCCAAGATGGGTGATCCACTGGGAAGTTCTCGTATAAGTTTTCAGAAACAAAACCAACCGTGAGGGTGTGCTGGGGGCTCAAAGCGGAAAATATCGTGCTATGGTGGAGTCGGGTCCGGGAAGTGGTCCCGCCCGGGCCGGGATGTGACATAATTTCTATTGATGTCACTCATTGATTTGCAAATTTAGTTTAAAATTTTGATCTCCCTAGCATTATTATTATTATTTTTTAAATAACTGGTGAGAGATGTTATTTAATTTTTTGTTTTGGATGTGAATATTAAAAACAAACAATTCTTCATAACACAAGCTGGTTCTCCACTTGATGAAAGTGAGATCAATCCACCACCAGCAAGCAAAACAGATAATCCGATGAGGCCATATAGCTGTTTGCTTTCAAATTGTAATTAATTTTGTTTCATCATGATTTTCAAGTAAATTGGTAATAGTAAAAAAGAAGAAAAATGTTGAGATTTTCAAGTAAATTGGTAATAGTAAAAAAGAAGAAAAATGTTTTCAAGCTTAAAGTTTCGATCAAAAAAACTAAGATATAAAAGCTTGAAAACTTTCTGAATTGTGAGAAACCTGATGTGGGGAGATTCTTCTTAGACATTTCACCTCTCATATGTTTAAGCTTAAATTTGTCCAAATTTCACTTACATTTTTTATTTTTAAAAAGGGACCAACTAGTGACTTTGTCACGGCAGTCTACCATTCCAGAAGGCCAGGAAGACTACTTGGATCTAAAGTTAAATTATGACTTTGGATAAGAACAGCGGAAATTAGGCTAAAACTATGATGTAATACATTGGTTAATATTATCTCATTCTTAAATTTGGAGTGATGGGTGCAGCTGATTCCCAATACAAGAGAAGAAGAGGTGAAGAGATGAAGGCACTCAAACAACCATTCAAACAACTCTCTCATTTCTTTCTCAAATTATTAAGAAACAAAGCCTCGTAATAGCTAGCGTTTTTTATTTACTCCGAAAAAAAGAAGAAGACATCTTCTCCAACCTCTTTCAATTCATCACAGCTTCCTCTTTATGCTTATTCCTCTTGTTGTAATTTGTTGTATTAGTATGAATCTCTCCCCTTGAATTAATATTGTTATTTCAATACAGAGTACTTAAGCAATTTTTCTTGCTCTTTGAATCAAAAGCTTGAACTCCTGAATTTTCACCTAAGAGGCCCTAAAGCCCAAACTAGACAGAAGCCACAACTTTACATACCTAAGAGGGCTGCCTTTGAGATTTTGGGAGCTCGGTGTGAAATTCTAAAAGGTCCCTCCTTAAGATAGTTTTCTAAAAAAAAGTAGAACAATCTATTGATGCTAAAAACAATAACTTAAATGAAAATAAATTTTAGGATTCACTAATTGTAATTTTACAAACGTCATTAAATAATAAGTAAAAAAGTTACATAATCTTCATTAAATAATAAAAAACAATTCAATCTTAGACAACCAAACAAAAAAAAAAAAAAAAAAAAGAAATCTTAAAAACTCTAATTTTAAAGTGTCACTTGAATATAAAATATTATTATATAATAAAATTGAAGAAAAAAAACCAATCGTTTTTGGAATGTTGTTATTGACACTTCAAATATTTTATTTCACACGGTATACAATGAGATTTTAAAGTGTTAATAAAAGAAATTTTTTTAATATATAGATTATTACATATAGGTTTAGATGACAAAATTTTTTGGGGGCCCTTCAAATTTGGGGAATTGCACAATTGCACTTTCGCTTCCCCCATAACTGCATGTGCTAGAAGGCAACATTTTTCAGTGTAAGTGGAACATAAGACGGTACACTGCTTGCTTTTATAATTTAGATATTAAGAAGGGACTTTGCAAAATTAATGCAAAAGGAACTAGGGTTGAAAATTTATCCAAATAGAACTTTTAGCCCTGTATAAAAAAAACAAGCTTTCGTACTTATAACGTGTTGTAAACTACATGAGAGTTGACTCTTAATGGATACTAAGAAATGTCATTACAAAGCTGTCATTTGATTCAAGCATAATTACTCCCTTTTTTTTTTTTTTTTAATTTGTTTAAAAAGAGGACAACTAGTGACAAGTCACGGTCATCTATTCCTTCTGGGGGCCAGGAAGACTCGTAGTGGCATTTCAGCCTTCCCGTGACCACAAGTCTAGCTTCCTCACCAACAGTGGGTTTTAAACCCGAGACCTTTAGTTTTTAGTTTTAAATCCGTCCATTATTACTGGGCGAGCAGCTTGAAGGCACCCCTTGCTACACCACTCAACGCCTTGATTCGCTTGGTGAACTCTTCTCCAAACTTGTAAAATCCCTCCACAATGACAAAGATGACATTGTAGATCAATGTTGAACGGAAAGTAACCAAAAGTATTAGCTATGAATATGTGTACAATTTGTCTGTCGGGTGATACTGAATACTAACGTCTTGAAGGCTTTCGATCGCTGGCTAGTGGCTCTACTACAACGTTACATGGTTTCGACGTTCGAGATGATATTGAATATAGGAATTCATAGTGACCAAAATAGTAATTTTATGTCAAACTAAAAAGGAAAATATGCCAAAATAATTACTTTTCATGTCTCAATTATTAAAACAATTAGTTTACTATATCGTCCATGTGTGATGAACATGTCATTAATATTTAATAGAATATCATCGATATTTGATTGATGATGTGTAATCAATATTTAATTTTGTGGGTTCAACCATTATGATTAGATTTTAAACTGATTTATCAAATTTCTTTTTATAAAAAATATTTTTCAAAATAACCCTACCTCTCAAGGTCAAGGCGTAGTCGAGCGCCGGTGGTTGAAAAACTGAAAGAGATGGGAAAGCGCGATAAGAAACCGAGACACCAGCAAAGGAGAGCTGCCTTCCACTACACTGAGGAAGACGATGGTGACGGTGATTATCAAGGTCACTCCGCTTCCAAGCTCACTGTTTCCGAAGAAGAAGAGGAGGAGGAGGAGGAGGAGGAGGAGGAGGCGGCGGAGGAGGAGGTTGCTGATGAATACCCATCAACTGATATGCCCTCAAAGTTTCTTCTTTATCAACAATCTGTACAGGTTCGGCCCATTCACAGTCGTTTTACTAACCCCATGTTTGGTAGCTGAGAAAATATGGGAAAATCTTAAAAAAAATGCCATACATTTTGATGGGAAACTGGAAGAAACTTTGAAGTAAACCCAATTCATGTGAACCTGGTATATCTGTTGTGTAAAATATTTGTTGTTGTTTTTGTTTCTGATCTTTACTTACAAGTAAACCCAAATGAATGGTTTTATGTGGTTTTTCAAGAGGAGGTTTGATATGTGATTAATTTGAAGTTTATATTATGTGCAGTCGCCGAAAGGAGACATAAGCTATTTGCAGAAGTTCTTTTTGATGTACGTGGGTGGGAGGTTACCTCTCCATCTCCAAGAAGATTTCTGTGGCACTGCACTGCTTAGGTACATTGCTATCCTTTTTATACATATCTGAACAGAGGTTTGAAACTAGTTTTTGGATATTTGTATTCTAACTGGAAGCTTTACTGTTGCTTTTTGGTGCCTTTTGTTGAGGACTTGCTGCCATAGGTTTCTCGTAAAGATTGTTTGTTTATTTTTATTAAAACATCAATCGCCAGTTCCAGTATGTGCGGTTAGTTTCCATAACGGAAGCTGTAGCAGTTGAGATTTGATTCACGGCTCCAGTTGTCATATTGAATGAAATACAGAGATTTAGTTAAAAGAAGAGGTCGTGGTTCTACAACCTAATTGGCCTTCGTTATGTTGTCAGGGTTATAAATATGCACAATTGTACATGTTCGAGCTTCTTCTAGCTATGATAAAGTAACTATTTCAGCGGATAGGCTATAGACTTATTTTGTATTATATTTTAGGTATCTATTGACACTGGAGATGCAAATAGGCGATTACATAAGTAAAAAGCAATTAAGTTCTCAGTCACAGTTTCAAGCACAGTATAAGGACCTAATGCAAATTATGTGGTTGACAGTGCAGAATGGCTCCGGACTGACCCGAGAAGGACTGCTGTAGGGTTGGATTTGGACCCTGAAGCTCTAAACTGGTGCATGGAGAACAACATAAATAAAGTTGGGTCTGATGGATATTCCAGAATATCCCTCTTTCACGGGAATGTCTTACAACCTCTTGAGGCCAAACTAATTAAGTCTGAGGCTGAGGAGCAGATGAGAAACATTTCACTCAGTGAGAACGGAGATGGTTTGGAGAGTGATGGATTGCAATCTACTCTTCAAGAGAGCTCATCTTCCTCACATGATGAGATGTACTTGAGCAATCATCCGTTGCCTGCTAGAGACATTGTGTGTGCTTTTAACTACAGCTGTTGTTGTCTCCATCAACGTGCTGAACTGGTTCTGTATCTCAAGCATGCTCTTGCTGTCTTGTCAAAGAAAGGTGGAATATTTGTAATGGATTTGTACGGCGGTACATCCTCAGAGTGCAAGCTAAGGCTTCAAAGGAGATTTGCCAATTTTACGGTACAAAACTTCATTTCAAATACTTCTTGCTTATTGTTGCATTATTTGCACTTAATCAGAATCGCAGTGCTTGTGTGTGGTTTAAGATGAAAGCAAAAGAAAACAATATGAAACAGAGGCCAATAAGCCATATAAATATGACATATATTAGTGGAATCCTCTGTGCTAGACATCCCAACTTTCTTACGCTTCAGATGCACCACTGATTTACCAACCAATAGGAACTAATTGATAGGCAAGGAAGAAAAAGCCAAAAAACCAAAAGTACACAAATTTTGGACAACTCAATCAATTGGTGAAACTGGCTGATTGACTACAGCTGTGTCCTGACGTCCTCAGAGAGATGAACAACGCATGTATATATGTATATGTATATTTTTCGTTTTGAGAAAATTTTACAGTGTTATGTTGATTAAGTGTATTCATGTTCAGCTTCTGAGAGTTGTGCTACTAGTCCTCCTAACCCGACTTGGGATCATTAAATCACTTCTCGTTCTCCAATCCCGTTGTGCTTCCCAAGAAACCCATCCCTGGAGCCCAAGGTCGGTCCTCCTTTTTTCGTCCTCCCATTTAATGGAGGGTGGGTCTGTAGAAGGCAACAAGCTTTTTTAAAATATTTCATAGGAAGCTGAATATAGGTTTTAGAATATGGCCTTTTATCTGCTGAAGAATATCTAGGGACCTAAGTTTATGTGATGGGCTCACCTCTATGACGCAGAGCAGATCGAATCTTATGAAATAACTTCCAAAGATGTCTCTTGTATTTATTTAAAGTTCTATTGGCTTTTGCAGTATGTTTGGGAGCAAGCTGAATTTGATATCATTGAGCGCAAGACAAGAATTAGCCTCCATTTCCATCTCAAAAAACAGCAGAAGAAAATTCGACATGCGTTTTCATACAGCTGGAGGCTGTAAGTCGTTATGTTTTTCCAGTTATAACTTATTGATAATTTTTTGTAATTCTGGTAAATTCTGAATTATTGAGAGACGACTGCTCATTTGCCTCAGGTGGTCGCTGCCGGAGATCAAGGACTGCTTAGAAGAGGCAGGCTTTAAGTCGGTCCATTTTTGGCTGAGGAAGATGCAAGACAGCGGAGAAATCCGAAGAACAGAGGGTTTTGGTGTTGGGCGAGACATAAAATATGAAGAGGTGAAACATTTTCAGCAACATGATTCATGGAATGCATACATCGTAGGTGTTGCATAGCTCCATGCATAAGGTAAGTTTCGCATCGAGCTTGGATTGAATATCTACCCCGACTAAAAGAACCATAGTTTTCGACTAAGTAGGTGTTAAGCTGTTTTTGAAAGTTATGAACCTATTTTCCATTTGTATGCTTCAAATGTTTGCTTGCAGTATTCACTCTGTGCTCTCACCGCTATAGTCGATCATTGCTGACTCAGGGTAGACCGAAAATAGCTTAGGTCTGGCAGTCTTTTACAAGTTAGGGAAGAATACCAGACTTGACGTTTTGTTTTACTCCATGTACGAACATGTCCATTTTGTTACTTGTTACTGTTAACTTAATTTCACAGTTAACGTTGATTACCCAAAAAAGTTCACAGTTAAACGTCGTTATGTAATTTATTGTTGTAGACACCTTGCATCAAATTATGAAAACCTGTTGTATATACTTTTCTGTGATTCCTGATCAAAGTCGAAAGAACATGAGAAATATATCTGTGACGGGTTGGAGGTGTATTTTGGATTCCAACCTGTGCCCAAAAACTACAAATCAGAATAAGTTACTACAAATTTACATTTACAATGTTACTACGTTCCGGCATGGCACAAACAGCAGGAGTTTCCGTCACCGGAGAATCTCTGCTGAGCTCCCAAATCGCCCTTCGATTTTGAACGATGTGCATCTCCGGAATTTTGGAAGATGGGGGTGACCGGAGAGAGAGGGGATCCAGGATTATGTATTTGGTTTTTAATTTCTTTATTTGTTTTTATGAATTTTATCAGATAAAAGATATTATTTTTATAAAATTTGTGACAGTACAATAGTACATTATTGGACTTGTGGACTCTATGTATGCCATATCAGCATAATAACAGAGGTATTGATGAAATCTTAACAAATATTGATGCACGACAGTGAAAGTCGAGGGTCCTGAAATTCAAGGATCAAAATGAGGAGTTAGGTCAAATTTAGAGACTATCTGCAATAAAAATTTAAAATGATTTTCACACTCGTTTTGTCTTTGTCACTACGGGTGTAAATGAGCTGAGCTGAGACAAATACCAAGTTGCTTAAGCTTTTGGCTTAGATGATACTATTTGTGTTCAAGCTCAGCACAAGTTCGAAAAAAGCTCGTAATTGCAAACTCGAGCTCAACTAGGATGATTTTTTCAAGCTCGTTTGTAAACAAAACATGAGCTTTTGATTGACGCTCAACTCATTCTTCAAACAAGCTCGAACTTATGTTTATGGATGGGTTTGGTTTCATTTGGTTCGTTTTTTGTCAAAACTGAAACCGAACCGAAACTTGATTTTCTTTTGGTTCGGTTTGATTTTATTTTGGTTTCCTTTTTTCAGTTTGGGTTTGGTTTTTTTTTTTTTTAATTTTATTTTATAAAACTTGATATTTTCTTAATATGGAATTTAGAAAAGAAGCTCGCATTGGTAGACTAATAATAAGAAAATGAGGAAAGTGGGAATGTAGTTGTACGTATACAAGATCATATAAACCAATCATATTCTATCAATAACCTCAATTGTAAAGAAAGATGATCACCTTATCTATTCCAAAAGAAAATAAATAGAGAAGCTCTTTCAAGTTCCAAAGCTTTCCAATACTTTCTTCTATAAGACGATAACCAATGGAATATCCTCCTTAATTGAATCAAGTATGCTCATTGAAAAAGCGCTAGACTTAGTTTCAAACTTGGCAACAAAGTTTCACAAAAGAAACATAATGGACATACATTCATAAAGACTAAAGGGATTCAGTTAGGTTTTTTGGTGTTCGGTCCGATATTTTTCAATTTTCAGTTTTTTTTAACTCACCCCTACTTATGTTTAGGTCGATTTAATTTCATAAAAACCTAACAAAATAAACATAATAACAAGCCATTGATTTGAATTATGCAAAAGTATCTGGCCTAAATAATAAGTTAATGCTTTAAAATAATTGCAATCCAACGGAAAAAGATACGAGCTCCTCACAACAATTATTGACCCAACATATCAAAAGCTCAAGCTCGACTCATTTTTCAAACGAGCCTAATATATTGTCGAAGCTCAATTAGTTTAATGTACGAACTGAGCTTCAACGAGCTAAAAAGGAGCCAAACACTAGTTAAACCAGAACCTTTCCTTTCCACCTTGGATTAAATAAAGCAAAAGAAAATGGAAAAAGCTCTTCGTCGGATTCTTTTTCAAAAGATCCAAGAGATCCCGTAATTGTGTTCATTTATCGTATATCGTACGGTCAGAAATTATTTAAAATTTAAAATTCAAATAGTATCTAATGAAAATTAATTGCACAATGTACGATGAACGAACACGTTTACGAAATCCCTAAGAAAATGATCCTAGATGCTCCCCTCCTCTGGATCCTTTTCCAAAGAAAATAAAGTAAACATAAAGTGTGTCGATAAAGTATTGAACCGGTAGAGTAAGGGTTTTCTCCATCACGACCCAAATTGAAGCAGCGAGACCGGATTCCCGTCGACGACGGCGACGCGTCAACAGCCGTGATCAACCTCCTGAATATTATCCCTTCTCCCCCAGCCTCCACGACTGCAGCCTTAGCACTGCCCCTGTTTTACCACCAGCCTCCACGACTGGAGCCTAACCAGTACCAGTAGGTAAATTATTTTTCCCTTTTTGTCCTCTGTAAATATATGCACACACACACACACACACACACACACGTATGTTTGTTAGTTTCTGTTTGGCTGGTTGCGTTTTTGCTTTGATTGGTCGCTTAGAAAACGGAACTAATCAGACATTGCTTTCTGATTTCGATTAGGTTCAGTTCTTTAGTGGAGCGATAGCGTAAGTGGGACGATTTGGTTAAGTTAGGACTAAATTATGAGGTTGGCAGCTTTCAATTTAAACTGTATAGGTGAAATGGCGGACAAGAAGTAGTGGAATTATTTGAGGTATTGAGTTGCAAATGGCTACATTGATGAAAGCAGTGAAAAAAAAGGTAGAGTTTGGTTTTTGGATCAGTTGCTTGCGTTTCCTGTGCAAAATGGTTATACCGAATTCTTGTTAACTTGCTAGCATGATGTTTGGAAAACCATTTCACAGTGCTTCGTAGAACTTGTAGAATTGATTATTATAAACTATATGATCATGTGAACTAGTTTTGTTCTATTGTTTTGTAGGATCATGTGAAGTCCCAATAAGCTAGAAAAGTTTGGTGTTAGTTCCTTATTATTTGGGTGGTGATGTTCTTCAGTAAGTTTGAATCATTGAGCTTCTTGTCATCAGCCAAACTTCGTCGATCAATTCCCATGGCCATTAAAAACCCACCCATCTCTGCTCCTTCCCATGTTCAAAGCTACAGTTCTGCCATCCCGCCATCCAAGACCCACCTCTACGCATCGTTCTTCTGCACCCTCGTACACCTTTACTTGACATGTGGCAGATTTTCCAATGCTTCTGGTGCCCTCTATTCTATGCGAAATCACGGCCTTGTTCCTGATTTGCCGCTCTGGAATCAACTTCTTTACCAATTCAATGCCTCAGGTTTCGTCTCTCATGTATCTTTTCTTTACGCTGAGATGCTCTCTTGTGGGGTTATGCCCAATATTTTTACCCGCAACATATTGATTCATTCTTTTTGCAAAGTCGGAAACTTGAGTCTTGCACTAGATTTCCTGAGGACTGGTGAAATTGATACTGTTTCATATAATACTGTCATATGGGGTTTCTGCAAACAAGGATTGGCTTATCAGGCTTTTGGGTTTTTGTCTCAAATGGTGAAGAGGGATATATCAATCGATTCGTATACTTGTAATACACTAGTTAACGGGTTTTGTCAAATTGGTTTGGTAGAGTATGCAGAATGGGTTATGGATAATTTGGTGGATGGTGGAATTCCACAGGATGTTGTAGGTTTTAACACCTTGATTGCTGGACATTGCAAAGCTGGTCAAGTTAGTCAGGCACTTGAATTGATGGAGAGAATGTGTAGGGACAGTCTGTCGCCTGATATTGTTACTTATAATACTCTCATACATGGGTTTTGCAACATGGGTGATTTTGTAAGGGCCAAGAGTCTTATAGATACAATGTTGAGATCACGGAGAAACAAAGAAGGCCCTCAAGATGAAAGAGATGATGGCCAGAATCAGACTAAAGGTGAGAACTTGAAACCAAACCTTATAACACACACCACACTCATTAGTTCTTACAGTAAGCAGCAAGGACTTGAAGAAGCTCTGTCTTTGTATGAAGAAATGGTTATGAATGGCATTTATCCCGATGTAGTTACTTATAGCTCCATTATAAATGGCCTTTGCAAGTATGGGAGGTTATCAGAAGCCAAAGTGCTTCTAAGGGAGATGGAGGAAATGGATGTGGATCCTAATCATGTCTCCTACACTACCCTTGTGGATTCCTTGTTTAAAGCAGGCTCTTCCATGGAAGCTCTTGCTCTTCAAAGCCAAATGGTTGTTCGTGGCCTGGTTTTTGATTTGGTAATCTGTACTGCTTTAATTGTTGGACTCTTTAAGGTTGGGAAAGCTGATGAGGCTAAAGACCTGTTTCAAACAATTTCAAAGCTTGGCCTAGATCCAAACTCTATTGCCTACTCTGCATTCATACATGGGCTTTGCAATTTAGGAGACATGAATGATGCAGAATCTATACTTAAACAAATGGAGAAGCGCCACATTCTACCAAATATTATTACTTATTCTTCAATGATAAATGGCTTCATGAAGGAAGGAAAGCTTGATGAGGCCATGAATTTATTAAGGGAGATGGTGCAAAAGAATATCCTGCCAAATGCTTTTGTGTATGCAACACTAATTGATGGGTGTTTTAAGGCAGGCAAACAAGAGTTTGCTCTTGATCTTTACAATGAAATGAAAATCAGAGGATTGGAGGAAAATAGTTTCATACTTGATGCTTTTGTGAACAACATGAAAAAGTGCAGAAGGATGGAGGGAGCTGAAGGATTAGTTATGGATATGACTTCTGGGGGTTTGTGTCTTGACCGTGTTAACTACACATCTCTAATGGATGGTTACTTTAAAGCGCGAAAGGAGTCAATTGCTCTTAACTTGGCCCAAGAGATGATGGAGAAAAATATAGGGTTTGATGTTGTTGCATACAATGTCTTGATGAATGGTTTACTGAGGCTTGGGAAGTACGAAGCAAAATCTGTTTGTACTGGAATGAAAGAGTTGGGTTTGGCTCCTGACTGTGCCACATACAATACCATGATTAATGGATTCTGCAGAGAGGGTGACACTGAAAATGCTTTTAAACTCTGGCATGAGATGAAGTGTCAAGAGTTAATTCCAAACTCAAACACTTGTAACATTCTGATACGAGGACTTTGTGATACCGATGAGATAGGAAAAGCAATAGATGTCTTAAATGGAATGGTGGCTGATGGTTCTCTTCCTACATCATTTATTCACAGAATTCTGCTTGATGCTTCTTCAAAGAGTAGAAGAGCTGATTCAATTTTGCAGATGCATCATAAGCTTGTATGTATGGGGCTTAACCTCAATCGGGATGTTTATAATAATCTCATCACTGTCTTGTGTAGGCTAGGTATGACCATGAAAGCTACTTCAGTATTGAAAGAGATGACTGGAGGAGGATTTTTAGCTGATATTGATACCTACAATGCCTTTATATGTGGATATTGCAGAAGCAGCCATATGAAAAGGGCTTTTGCTACTTACTCGCAAATGTTGGCTGAGGGAGTTTCTCCAAATATTGAAACGTACAATCTTCTTTTAGGGGGACTTTCAGGTGCTGGTCTGATGACAAATGCAGAGGAGTTCTTTGGTCAAATGAAGAACAAAGGCTTTGTTCCTAATGCTTCTACATATGACACTTTGGTTTCTGGTCATGGTAAGAAGGGAAATAAAAAGGAAGCTATAAGACTTTATTGTGAAATGGTAAGCAAGGGTTTTGTTCCCAAAACTAGCACCTATAATATCCTTATTAGTGATTTTGCTAAGGTGGGAAAGATGAGCCAAGCTAGGGAGCTTATGAATGAGATGCAGACAAGAGGGACCTCTCCTAACTCTTCAACTTACAACATACTAATCTGTGGCTGGTGTAGGCTATCAAGGCAGCCAGAGCTGGAGAGAAATTTGAAAAAGTCATATCGGGCTGAGGCAAAAAGATTATTAACTGATATGAAAGAAAAAGGGTATGTTCCATGTGAAAGTACCGTTCTATGCATCAGTTCTACCTTTGCTCGACCAGGAAAGAAGGCCGATGCTCAGAGGCTATTGAAGGAACTCTATAACAAAAAGAACACATGATAGATGGGAATGAAGAATATAGGAAATACTCATTATGGCACATAGATTGCCTTTCATTCCATACTGAGGCTGGATTAATTCTTCAATTGGAAACCAAGTCCTGAAAGGCTTGATATATGGTATGCATTCCTCATTCCATACTTAGTATAGCTATTTGTTTTCGTTGAAAATTTGTAAAAGTTAAATTAAGTACTGAAGTTGTGGTATTCTGTTTTTGTTTCTGATCTTATTTTAGAACTAAATCCAAATGAATGATTTAATGTGGTTCTTCAAGAGGAGTTTTGAAGTTTATATTATATGCAGTTGCCGAAAGGAGACATAAGCTATTTGCGGAAGTTCTTTTCAATGTATGTGGGTGGGAGGTTATATATACATCCCCAAGAATATTTCTGCGGCACTGCCCTTCTTAGGTATATTACTATCCTTTTTATTGACATATCTGAACAGAGGTTTAAAACTAGTTATCCGATATTTGGATTCTAACTGGAAGCAATATTGTTGCCTTTTTGTTGACGACTTGCTGCCACTAAATTTTCATTAAAACTGTTTGTTTACTAAAACATTAGTTGCCATATCGGAAGCTGTAGGTGTTGGTGATTCAATTCACAGCTCCCCAGTTGCCATATGTGGTGATTTAGTGCTAATGAGTTATTGCAGATTAGTTGAAAGAAGAGATGGTGATTCTACAACCTTGTTGGCCTTCTCTATGTTTTCAGGGGTCATATATATGTACATGTTCATTCTTCTAACTATGATACATAACTAAGAGGGGTGTCTTGTGGCTAGATTTATTTTCTGTTATGATAAAGTTATCTATCAGCACTATGTGGAGATGCAAACTGGCCAGTTTCATATGTACAAAATCAACAAGTTCTCTGTCACTGTTCCCAGCACTGTGTCTAAAGACCTAACACTAGCTCTGTGTATGACAGTACAGGATGGCTCTGGAATGACCGAAGCTGTAAGGTTGGATTTGGACCCTGAACTGCTAAATTGGTGCATGGAGAACAACATAAATAAAGTTGGGGCTGGTGGATATTGCAGAATGTCCCTTTTTCATGGGAATGTCTTGCAACCTATCGACGCCAAAATAATAAAGTTTTATCCGAGAAGTTGAGGAGAAACATTTCACTCAGAGAGAACGGAGATGGTTTGGAGAGTGGTGGATAAGAATCTACTCTTCAAGAGGACTCTTCTTCCTCACAAGATGAGAAGTACTTGAGGAACCATCTGTTACCTGCTAGAGCATTGTGTGTGCTTTTAACTAGAGGAGTTGTCTCCATCAATGTGCTGAACTGGTTCTGTATTTCAAGCATGCTCTTGATGCCTTGTCAAAGAAAGGTGGGATATTTGTTATGGATTTGTATGGCGGTACATCCTCGGATTGCAAGCTAAGGTTTCAAAGGAGATTTGCCAATTTTCCTGTGAAGAACTTCATCGGAATCCCAATGTTGGTGTCTAAAAAGCAGAATAGTTTTGGTTTATTGCCTTTTAGTTTGTGAAGATTATTTAGGGACCTAAGTTTATGTGGTCTCGCCTCTGTGATGCAGAGAAGATCATCTTGTAACTGATTAAAGTATGTTTACTTGCAAAGATGGGTTTATTTTTATTTTTTTTTCAGTTTTAATGTCTTCTATATCGTGAAAGAATATTGAGTGTAGGCTTCGTTTTGAAGTATTGATATTTTTTTTTTAGTTCCTGGTAACTTCTGAATCATTTGGAGAAGGTTTTAGTTGAACTTAGTCTAGGTGAGTCTCATTAAACGTAATCCCTGCGTGAAACAAACACGGGATTACATCAAGAGTTAGTCCAGTCTAGTCCAAGGAAATATAGTAGAGCCAAACAAAGGGACTAGCATCTAACAAATGACAACTAATGATTTTGTGCGCAAGAAAAGGCTAGTATGTAATAAATAACAATTAATGATTAAATAACAAAAAATGCTTGACCATTGCTCTTATTTAATTTATTTAATCTGATGATTAAAAATTAAAAAAAAAACCTTGTGAGAAATAAGAAAAGATGTGCTGATGGCACTACTACAATAAAATCAATTACAACACGTGTTGGCGTTTGCAACCAGTTGTAGGCATGTACCTTTCAATGGCCAGCAGCAGCCGGATTTATAAAAATTAAAAGCGGGGACCCACTCCAACACCCGCACGAAGGGAAGGCCCACATGAAAACGATACGAGCGGTCCCGGATCGGCAAACCGAGCGGGTCCAAATTGGCGTGGCGAATTAAATATCCAAAATCCCTGCCGTGCCCGAAACGACTTCGAGAAGATGACCAATTTAATTATTTCAAAATTTGAACGGCCTCAATAAAATCCCCCTCTTCTGTCTAATTTACGCGCATTTTAATAAGAGGAAAAAAAAAAAAAAAAAAAAAAAGAGAGAAAAAGGAGAGGAATTTTGTTTCCTCTGAGGACCAGGAATCCCAATCGCCAAGGGACCGCCTGGTTTTTCTTTTTTCCTTCCTTTCGGTTTGTTCTTCCCAGAAATTGTGATTCTGCGATCACCTTCTTAATTCGATTTCCAAACAGGTATTTTGGTTGTGTTGTCATTTGGATCTGTTTGGTTTGGGGGAAATTTTTTCTGATTTGTCGAGATTTTGATCGGATTCGGATATCTGGTTGCGGAAATATTCGAATAATTTGTTTTGGAATTGCAGAAAATTGAGATCGTAATGGCGGAAGAGCATCGTTGCCAGGCACAGCAGCTATGCGTCAACAACTGCGGTTTCTTCGGAAGCCCGACGACGCAGAACTTGTGTTCCAAATGCTACCGTGACTTGCAGCTCAAGGAACAACAGGCGATCGCTCTCAACCAAACTCTCATCTCCTCTTCCTCTTTCGCTTCTCCTTCCTCGTCCTTCTCTCCCTCTCGTCCGTTTTCGTCCCCGCTGAACTCCGTCTCACCCGCGCACAAGGCACGGGTGGAGCGCGTGGTCGAAGCGAAGGAGGAAGAGGAGAAGGAGGCCGCGCCGTCGGCGGGGGCGCAGGCGAACAGGTGCACGACGTGCCGACGGCGCGTGGGGTTGACGGGGTTTAAGTGCAGGTGCGGGATGACGTTCTGTGGGACCCACAGGTACCCGGAGCAGCACGCGTGCGGGTTCGATTTCAGAGGGATGGGGAAGGAGCAGATCGCCAAGGCCAACCCGGTTGTGAAGGCGGAGAAGCTGCATAAGATTTGAGAGGAGGCGGCCGTTAATATCATTATTTCCAGGGTTGCCGTGGTCATTTTACTTTTCGTGGTGTGGGAAATTTGGGTAGGGGATGGTTGGCTGATGGTGTGGGTGGGATAATGCTATTGCTTGGTCTTTGTAAAAATTTAATCATAATTTAATGGTTTCCGCTTTTTTTCTTTCCCCCTTTTTCAGAAGAAAAAGAAAACAATTTGTCCATAATTCAATCAGCAATTGTACGTGTGAATCATGTGATATTACACTATTTAAATACATTGTAGTGAATTAGTGGTACATAAGAAAATATGCAAAAACATAAGTGTAACAAAAATTCCATACCTAAATATATGATACTAAACTAGTGTATCGAAATGTTCGTACCTAAATATATTATACTAAACTAGTGTATCGAAATGTTCGTACCTAAATTACAATGAATTAGTGGCACATACGACAATATGCAAAAATATAAGTGTATCAAAAAATCTTTACGAAAATATCTTCTTATACAAGATACTTACTATAATAAGAATTAAAATTTATAATATAATTTTAAAAATTTATTTATGAACACCATAAAATTATAAATAAAAAATAAAGACATTATATACATAAACTAGCATTAAATAGAGTCTAGGGACTAAAATCAATTTTTAATCTTGTATAAGACATTTTTCTAAACTTCATCTTATTTAAGAATTAAAATTTAATTTTCTAAGGAAAACTAACGAAAAATAAAAAAAAAACTTTAGTTTTAATGAAAAATGACAAATAAAGATGTAGTAAATAGTACCAGAAAAAAAATAAAAATGTTATTTTTCGTTAAAAGTAAACAATACCGGAAGTGTTTTGTTAAAACTTCCAATTTTCTATTATTCTAATTGCCATGCCGTCAGCTCCCTAATTGCTATGTGAAAAAGAATTTTTTTTTTTTTTTTTTTTTTGGCAAACAACATACATCTATTTCACAAAAGAGGTTGGATCTAAGGTCAGCTTCGGTGGCTGTTAGTGTTGGAGAATTCGGTTATAATTTTATTAGGCTGATTGAAGACTAACTCAATCAAGTAAGGAATCAGAATCAAATTCAATCATGGTTTCACAAAATAATTCTAAGATATTATTTATTCAATGATCTCCGGTATAATTCTTTCATACTCCATCCTACGGGTTACACACCTTAGCCAACCAGATGGCGACACATGGTGCGAGATCCCTCTTCTCCATGGCTGGCCCTATGCTCTATAAATACCTCATTTTTTCACAAATTTTAGTAAGCTTTTGCCACACAATTAATCCCTAAAACTCTCTCTTTAGAAAGCTGACTTAGGCATGTCCATTGGCCAAACCCATACCCCAGTCCTTGGGCCCACAGCTTTGGTTTTTGGTCAAATGTGTTTATTTATTTTATATGTACAAATTCGCTAAGATCGAACATAACAAATTTTTACTACCACAATTAGTCTGTTAAATTTTTCGTTAGATAAACAAAACAAAACCCTAAATCAACAACTCTCACCTCCCCTCTCAAACTTTTTCTTGGGCATGCAGTCGACCTCTTTCTTGTTATTCATATAATTGTACCGCACTAGGGATTTGAAATAGGGTCAGGAAGAAGTTTTTTTTTACCCGAAGATGAGGAGAATGAATACTCAACACGTGAAGGTACTTTGCGCAAAACAATGGAGGCCATTGCTTACATGGTTTCCTCCCTTTTTAGTTTTTATATTTTTAATCTTTGTCTAATTGTGTAGTCTTCTTCCGTTTTATGTTTTTATTTTTAATATTAGTTTTAATTCACTTAAACATCCATGTCATTAAATGAATTAATATGAACGAAAAGTGAGTTGCTTATATTGTGAGAGTCTTTCTTCCTTATAGAGAGTTTTTCTCACCTTTTTGTGTGAGGTTTTCAAAGTTGACCAAATCCAGTAGCACCAGCCCTAGCTTTGGCCGCGGTTGGTTGCCGTTTCCCTTTTTCTTTCCTTCTCTTCTCTTGTCTTTGCTTCTACTACTTTTTCAACATGTTTTATTTCCCAATTTGTTTTGTGTCTCTTACCCTACTAGTACGCCTTGTTCTAGTTCATCCTTGGTCCGATTTTCAACCATGCATCATGTTGAGATTGTGTGTAGAACTCTGGTGTTTCCACCTGCTCCGGTGTTTTCAACACCACCACTTTCTTGTTGCTATCTGCCTTTTCCAGCAATGTTGCTCGTGTGTTTTCACTGACTTCATCTTGATAGTTGGCTTCTATTAGTTGTTGGCTATCCTTACTACGTGGATGTGCTCGAGGAGCAGATCAAAATTGGATGATGCATTTGATGAGGTGCTGCTTGGTTGTGGGTGAGGATTGGAGCATATCGGAAATCTTTGTGGCGGCGGAAGCAGTGGAACATTCTAGTTGTTATTGTTGTGCTTTGCCTTTTGGGGCGAATTTGTTGTTTGGCCCTTTTGTAATCTGTTTGTTTTGGCCCTTTATGTTTGCTTATAAGTTAGTTTTGGGCCCGTGGGTTGTAATTGTATGTATTGCTTTTTGGTGTTTAATAAAAAGTTTGCTTACCCAAAAAAAAAAAAAAACACTATTGAGTACAATCTCTTCAATGTCTATTATAATCATTTTTTGCCAAAAGAATTAGACTTTATTATACTCTAATGTAATGTTTACATTCTTCGTCAAAATATTGAAAAAAAAAATATCTGTTAAGGGACCTTTTCTTTAGCATAAATCTTAGGAAACTATTATTGGCGTTCCAAAAAATTAATTATGCACTCTTCATAAGTGTATTTTTCTTTCTAAATATAAAAAGTTTGGAATGCACAATTAAATTGTTTGAGTACTAATAACAACTTTCAACCTTAAACCTAACAAATTATCACAGTTCCCTAGGCACTTTTAAGAGTCGCTTTTTCTTAGGAAAATAAATAATTAAATTTATTTCTCTATTTTGGGATGTTTTTCTTATTGAGTTGCATTTGACAATATTGAAGGAATTTACAAGATTTTTTTTTTGTCAAACGATTGATTTTGTTAGATTAGCCACCCACGGAATTTGAATCTACGCTGTCATGTAAGGGCTCAATATCTTTCCAAGATGCTTTTTCCATTATATAGTAAAACTTCTCTAAAATCATACATTTGGGACCAAACTAATTTTGTAACTTTAGGGAGGTTATTATTTATGACTTATTTATTCGTAGTGAATGTTGTATTTCCTAAATAGTATTCCTTGGGTGCCAAATACTGTATTTCTTGCATATTTGTGTCCTCATCGATAATTATAACTATGTCGAGAAAAACAAAATGTCTTCGTGAGAATGAGCTCGAGTTAGGGTTCGGGTGTGTTTTGACGGCTACTGGGTCTACTCTTCCACATCATGGAGAATTTCCTATGGTTGTTTCGATCGAAGTTCCATCTAAATGATCAAGAGGGGGTGGAAGTAAAGATTAGCGATACGGTGACGGAGTGTTTACATTGCTCCAAGTTCTTTTTGCTCAAATGGATGACCCCCCTCTAATGGGTGGGTCAAAATCAATATTGATGGGGCCGCATGACTGGAGCATTTTTTTGGGGGAGTGGGAGCTGTGTTAACGGATTGGACGGGGAAGTTTTTAGCAGCGAGAGCATGGAGGAAGGAGGGTATTGGGTATGCTCTTCATGCGGAGTTTGAGGTAGTTTTGGAGGGCTTTCGGCTGGCAGGGGTGTTGCAGGTTAGACGGGTTATTGTGGAGAGTGATTCCACTCTCGCTATTGTTGCTATCAATAACTACTCTTGGGATTTGTTTGAGTTTGGTTTGCTAGTGGAGGATGTTAGGCAAGTGGCGGAGTTGCTAGTGGAGGATGTTAGGTGAGGAATGCGGAGTTATTGAAACCTTATATGAAAGAGGAGATTAAGTTGGCTCTGTTTCAAATGCATCATTCCAAGTCTCGGGGGTTGGACGGGATGTTTCCGTTTTTTTATCATAAATTTTGGCATATTGTGGGGGCGGATGTGGTGGAGGCTGTTCGATCTTTCTTGAGGTCGAGCTGTTTGTTACATGAAGTTGCTTTACGCATGTCGTACTTATTCCAAAAGTTAATGAACCTCAGGATATGACCCAACTAAGGCCGATTAGTTTATGCAATGTAGTGTATAAGATTGGGGCTAAAGTGTTAGCTAATCGTCTTAAAGGGATTTTGTCTACTATTATCGCTCCACATCATAGTGCATTTGTCATTGGCAAATTGATCTCCGATAATTCGTTAGTAGCTGTGGAGATTGAGCATTTTCTCCATAACAAACGACGTGGTCGAGAAGGGTATTTGGCTTTGATTTGGACCTTAGCAAAGCATACGACCGTGTTGAATGGAAATTCCTGGAGGCTATGATGTTTAGGTTGGGGTTTGCTAGGGAATAGATCAGAGTGATTATGGCTTGTGTGTCATCAGTTGCCTATTCTTTCCTAATTAATGGGGGCCCTAAGGGCTATGTTATGCCATCCCCTGGACTCCAACAAGGGGACCTGATCTCACTGTATCTTTTCCTACTATGTGTGAAGGGTCTTTCGACACTTATTGCCAAAAAGGGGCAGTGTGGGGCTCTTAGCGGTATTCATATTTGTGAGGGTGCTCTGAATGTTCATCACTTACTCTTTGCTGATGATAGTTTTCTATTCAGAAAAGCTAGTCTTGATGAGTGTGCGGTTATTTAACATATATTGGATGTATACTCTTAAGCGTCGAGGCAAGCGGTAAAATTTTCAAAGAGTAATGTTGTTTTTCAGTGCAAATGTTGGTTCAATAGAGCAAATTTCTATGGTCTGGTTTCTTGGTGTCCAAGTGGTGGAGCAACATGAACGCTACTTGGGGCTTTCTACCTTTGTGGGGAAAAATAAGAAAAAAAAAACATTCTCCTACATCAAGGAATGGGTTATGAATAAGATATGTGGGTGGAAAGGAAAATGTTTGAGTAGTGCGGGGCGTGAGCTTCTTATTAAAGTGGTTGCTCAGGCCCTTCCAGCTTTTGCTATGTATTGTTTCTTACTTCCCAGGACTTTTTGTGATGATCTTCACAAGTTGATGGCTCGGTTCTGGTGGGGCAGTGATCCGAATGTGAGGAAAATACAATGCTAGTCTTGGGAAAAGCTTTGCAAAGGGTATGGGCTTTCAGGACTTATTTGCATTTAACTTAGCGGTTTTGGCTAAGCAGGGGAGGCGTATTTTCTAGCAACCTAATTCTTTGGTCGCACAACTATTCAAGGCTTGTTATTTTCCCACCCTATCCTTTTGGGAGGCAACCGTTCCGAAAAGTTGTTCGTATTGCTGGTCTAGTATTTTAAAGGCACGTGAGGTGTTAGTCTGTGGCTCCAAATGGGTTGTTAGGAATGGTTGGGGTCTATTAAGGTATGGAAGGATAGATGGTTACCAAGACCTCTTTCTTTCAAAGTCCTTTCTATTGCTGTTGCTGATCAGGATGATATGCGTGTCCAGGAGCTTATTGATACGGAGTCTTGCCTGCGGAAATTGGTTGAGTTACATGCTTTGTTTTTGGAGGAGGAGGTGGGTTTGATTAGTACTATGCCGATCAGTTTTCACTTACTGCCAGATCGGTTAGTTTGACATTATAATTCTCGGGGTGAGTATATTGTTAACAGTGGCTATCTGGTGGCTAGGGAGTTGGTGTAATCTAATTCGGTTGGTGCGTCTATGTTGGAAGGGAGCAATGCTTTTTCACCTTTCTGGAAGTTAATATGGAGGGCTAAGATTCCCCCTAAGGTGAAAATTTTTACATGAAAAGTTGGTCAGGACAATATTTCGACTAAATTTAATCTTGCAAGGAAGGGGGTGCACCTTTATATATAGTGTAGGGTGTGTTCGGGGAATCTCGAAACGGATGGGCATATGTTTTGGGAGTGTGTGTTTGCGAGGGTTGTGTGGTTGGGGTCTCCATTGGGGGCTAGTATCTTGTCGGAACCTGGTATGTTGATGCGTGAGTGGCTCCTTTCAGTAGTTGAGAATCAAAGAGCTAAGTTTGATCTTGTTTGCATGGTTCTTTGGGGCTCCTGGCAGGCACGTAACTCTCTGGTATGGGATGGGCATCGTGGACAACCTATGAAGGTAGTGTAGAAGGTTGTGTGTTGGTATTAGGCATTTTTGGTAGCCTATGAAGTGTAGAGTGTGCCAAAGTCGGTTCCTTAACTCAAATGGATGACCCCCTCTGATGGGTGGGTCAAAATCAATATTGATAGGGCCACACGACTAGAGCATTTTTCTGGGGGAGTGGGAGCTGTGTTAAGGGATTGGATGGGGAAGTTTTTAGCAGCGAGAGCATGGAGGAAGGAGGGTATTGGGTATGCTCTTCATGCGGAGTTTGCATCAGTTTTGGAGGGCTTTCGGCTGGCGGGGATGTTGCAGGTTAGACGGGTTATTGTGGAGAGTGATTCCGCTCTTGCTATTGCTGCTATCACTAACTACTCTTGGGATTTGTTTGAGTTTGGTTTGCTAGTGGAGGATGTCAGGCAAGTGGCGGAGTTGCTTTCCTCGGTCCATTTTGTGCATGTGCCAAGAATATGTAATGGGGTTGCCCATAGATTAGCTAAGTTTGCCATTTCTATTGGCAATAAATTTGTATGGTTAGAGACCCTCCTGATCTCATTCAGGACCTCTTCAGCCAGAAGTTGATGTAGTGCATTTGATTTCAATAAAATATAGAGGTTTCGTCAAAAAAAAAAAAAAAAGATGGGACAACAAAAATTATATATGGAGTGTACTCTAATACATAAGTGGTCTCAAGTTGGGACTAGAATTTTTATGATTGTAAGGACGTTATTCCATTATAGAGTATTACTTTAGAAATGGTTAACTGTTATTTGTAAGAACAGATACGTGTTTGAAAAATAATTTCATATTAGGTGGCATCATACAAAGATAGGTAGAATGAAACTTCATTTTGATGGCTTGGTTATCTTAACAAATTCAGCCTCAATATGCTTTATTTGTTGAGAGTTAAGAATCTAGGGTAACGGTCTTTGCAACCGAAATTTTCACTTCATAAAATTGCAAAGAATCAAAATGGATTTTAAATTAGGGTTTGACAAGATTCAAGTGGAAGGTGATTCGAAGGCTCCGATTGAGAAAGTTTCCAAAATCCAAGCATTTTGGAAGGTGCCCATTTTGCTGGTTGGAATTCTCTCTTATTAGTTCTTTTCATGCGCCTTTCAAATTTGTTTCATCTTCTGTTTTGAATTTTAATTATTTATGGAAAAATATTGGTAGAACCGTTTATAAAAGAAACAAGTGCTGTATATGAATCACTCACATAATCTTGAGAATTGTAGGCATCCGCGGGATTATTTCGTAACCCAATTTTCTTCTATTTTTTGTTGGTAGAATTTCCTTTCATTCTCACTTTGTTTTTCTTTTGCTTTTTGCTTTTTCAGCAGATTGATGTGGGTTCTTCGAAATAGCAAAAAACCTTAAGTAGACCCCACCCCAAATCCCACCCACTCTCCATCATTGCTTTGAGCTACGAGAAGGAGAGGCGACCATGCCTCCACTATTCCACAACACTCTCCCTCTCCCACTACAGAAATCCTCAACAAGTGCAAATCACACCTTTCAACTGCCCAATCAATAAACCTTCATCCCACCATCAAAACACCCTAAATATATAAAGTGGTCAATTTTTTACTGTATTTCCACTGCATTGCATCTCCCACAACTCCCCAGGGAAAAATAAAAAGAAAAAAGAAAAATCCCATCGCCTTTCAAAGTCTCAGGCTTTTCGCCTGCAATGGGGTTTGTCACCTGCTGGTTTCTCCAATCCGGCCCAAACCCCACACTCCCTTTAGCATTTAGCATCATGAAATTTCCATTTCTCAACCAAATCCCAATTTCTCACTCTCAGTCCCACTGAAACACTCCTCAGCAGAATCCCAGATGCAAATCCCATCTACTTCCCAAATCCCTCTCTGAAAATCCTCACTTTCCCTAATGCCAAAATCTGTAGAAAACCAGGATGAAGTCCACACGCAGAGCATCAAGATCTGCACTCCCATCCATTTCTGGCCGCATTTAGCGACACCCATCAACCCTTTCAACGATCTCTTCACTCTTCCCATGAAGCGCTCTGTCCGCCCATTATTCAGCATTCTCCTCCTCATTGTGTTCGCCGCCATGCTGAGCTGCCGGAACGCCGTCCGCCATAGCTTTGAGCTCGAGAATAAGGTGCTAATCCAACCGTCGAGGCCGGTGTTCAATGCCACTCTGCTCAGATTCGCCGCCGTTGATGCAGGTGAAGCTCAAGCCAAGAAGGAGATTGAGCAGCTGTTGGAGGGTAACTTTGCCAGTCTCGGAAAGTACCGGACTTTCGCTTCGTGGAGGCGATTTAATCACCATGATATCAGAGCGAAGACGTCCACTGGATTGCCGGTAATGCTCCGCTCTCCCCGATTCTATCGTTATTGGTTGGATTTTAGGAGGGTTTTGAGTGATTGGTCGAGAAACAAACGGTTTCATGCTGATGTTATGTTGGATTTAGTCAGACTTGTTAGGAATCCCATTGATAGGCACAATGGCTTGGTGGGTTCGGAGCAACGGCGCTATTCGTCGTGTGCGGTTGTCGGAAACAGTGGGATTTTGTTGAAGAGTAATCATGGAGCTCTCATTGATAGTCATGAGGTTGTCATTCGATTGAACAACGCGAGGATCCAGAGTTTTTCGGAGAAAGTTGGCTCGAAAACCAGCATTTCGTTTGTAAATAGTAACATTTTGCATCTTTGTGCTCGGAGAGATGGTTGCTTTTGCCACCCTTATGGACTGAATGTGCCTATGATTATGTACATTTGTCAACCGGTGCATCTCTTCGATTACACGATATGCAACATGTCCCACAAAGCGCCGTTGCTTGTGACTGATTCTCGGTTTGATATGTTGTGCGCGAGGATTGTGAAGTATTATTCGTTGAAGCGGTTTGTGGAGGAGACGGGGAAGTCGTTTGAGGAGTGGGGGGCAGTTCATGATGGTTCCATGTTTCATTACTCTTCCGGTATGCAGGCTATTATGCTTGCTTTGGGAATTTGTGACAAAGTTAGTGTTTTTGGATTTGGGAAGTCGGATTCAGCGAAGCATCATTATCACACGAATCAGAAGGCCGAGCTTCGATTGCACGATTATCCAGCGGAGTACGCGTTCTATCACGATTTAGCCGAGAGACCGCAGGTAATACCGTTCCTTTCGGACAAGTTCAACATTCCTCCCGTGGTTCTATATCAATGACATTTTGGGAGTTGAATCATTTGCTTTTGTGGAATCAGTTGGCTTGAATTGTTGCACTGTTAGTGTTGTAATTGTAGTCTTCAACAGCAGTTGTTGAAGATTAATGTTTTAACACTTTGAGCCTCTACTATCTAAGATAGTTTTGGGAAATATCAACTGTAAAATTGGAATCCAAATCAGGTTATCATCTGTTTTTTGATTGAATTCGTTGGATTTCGACATTGAAATCATACGCATGATCGACCATAAGTAGTTTTGAAACTGAAACCGGCCTCGATGTGATGTTACAATTGTCGAAAATTACGCTTCTTTTTCTTTCGAGTTGGTTGCCAAGGAAGAGTTCTTCCTTTACCATGCTGTCTTCAACTTTTGTATTTCATTTTGTATCGTAACGCTCCGCCATATTAGAGACACTACCTTAATTCACATATACGGAAGTATTATTACAAATGGAATTGCAGACTGAATCTACAAATTCGAGGCTCGTTTGACAACCATTTCGTAGCCGTAGCCGTCACTTTTTGTGCAAAAGACCAAAACTTTGTACAAATATGATCCAAAAGGTCTAAAATGGTTATCATACACCTCCCGGTGATCGTTTGAGATGATCGGTGGCCGCGCTCTTATAAGAAAAAAAGAAAAAAAGCAGTCGCATCTGCTTCCGTTGCTAAAGCCGCAGTTTTGTGGATAATTACATGAAGGCTTTAAGGACCTAACAGCAATGTTTCCTAGCTCCTCGAAGAAGGCTGGAGGCCTACGACCTCGTCGGACCCTCGAGGCTCAAATCACTCATTTTTTCACATACGTGTACAGATGTAAACAGTATAAAATCAGTATAAAATCGTGCTTGAGTAGCATGTATGCCACCTTTGAGTCTTCGGATTCACATGCTTCTACAATTTCAAGGTGCCGAGAAACACCATTACTACAGACCGACTGGAAGATTCGTGATGACGTTATATTCAACAAAAGTTCATCTACAAACCCTTCCCAAAGACATACCTACTACTAAGGTTACTTTCAGCAAAAGAAAAAGTCAAAAGGTCTGCGCAACGTTATACTCCTCCGTTTCCCTGGCTTTCCTTCCGGTGACCCCTTCACTCCTCCGGCTCCATCACTGAATCCTTCTCTTCATACTTCACAGCTACCAAAAACCTGATGCTTACCTGAAACAAAAGAAATACTTGAGAAGCCATGCACCAATTCGAAAACTGGACTGCAAACTCTATCAAGTACAGATACCTGTGTCGGATCATAAATAGCATACTCGTTGTACTCGAGAATGCTTTCTTTATCATCTGAAGGTACCAGGCGGCCACAAGGAACTTTGATATCGTCTTGCCAAACAAAGTGCTCCGATTCATCAGTTTTCTTCCTCCCCAAGCCTTTAACTCCTACTTTCTTCTCCTCTAAAGATTTGGTATCCTGCGTCATTGAATTGCACAAGCCCATTTGAGTTAAAACTTAATGGAAACATTACCCGGAACTTGAATTAAAACCATTTTCTCAGGTTCTACCTCCGGTGCGGTCTTAACCTTAGTGATCTGGTCTCCTTGAGAGGCTACAGCTAAAACCAAGAACCCTTCCGGTCTGTCCACTGCAGTAAACCCGTACCTAGCAGCTTCTGCAGCAGCATCAGAGCACACAATAGCCCTTCCAAACTGTGAGCCAAAACCCAGATATTAGTATTCAATTAGAGAGCTTACGCACATTAAATCATACGGGGACAGGACTTGTAGTAGCTGTAATTATATTACCATATAGCCTGGAACAGGCAGAGAGCATATTGCTGGCAAGAAACCCTTATGCAGGTGCCTCAACATATTTGAGCTCCGTGTTCCTGCAGACAGAAAACCAAAACTACAGTAAAATCCTTGTTTTTGTTCAACCTGCAGTGGGCAAATTATTTTTCTTCCAATATATTGGAGCTCGCTTAGTCACCACCATGCAAAGTACTGTACAGTCACTCACCCTACTGGAGGAAGTTAATACAAATCGAGCTTCGTTCTTGGAAGGTGCTTATGCGTGTAAAGAAATAATAATCTGTTCAAGTAAATGAACAGGACTACAGAACTTACCACACCATAAGAGCACTTTGTTCGGTAACTTCTTCATTTCATCCAGAGATTGGCAAGCACTTGATTCAATAACAAATATGTTATCAACAGACACCCCATATTCCTGAAAAGCATTTTTGATTACCACCAACACACATCCATATTCTGTACAGTAGTTGGTGGTTTTAATGATTCCAAATCTATCTTAAACATGCATGCTTACAACATCTCCAACTTTGACAGGTTCGTAGGTCTTCTCCAGGTACTTCAAGATCATCTTGTAGTCATCAGATTCCTTATCCAGTGGAGAAATTGAGCAGCCCAATTTGTTGTATCGCTCGGACAAGGGGTCATCAAGGGTAGATTTACCCATGTCTCCAATGAGATGGGAAGCCATGGTTATGTCTCGAATAGTTTCAAGTGCAGCTGCAGCCTGCAAGATTAGACCGGAAATGATTTCAAGGTGTAGTGGACATATCCAGAATCAAACAAGTGACATATGATTTGCTTCTGCTTACATTATCTGCAAGTTCCTGATAGTCTCTGAAGATAAAAGGTCTAGTAGAGTGCATAAGGGTGAACCATCTTTGACTAAAATCTGACCAAACTGCCTCAGCCTTCGGCCCTGCATCCTTCATTGATTTCAATGTCTCCACGAATTTCTGAAGAACCTCCTCACCTGAATACACACCTTTGTCATTTTGTAAAAGATTGGACAAGGAGGGTACAGGAGGATCTTCGAGGAAGTTCCTTACATCGTTTTAGGTGGACAACGGAAAGCATCCCCGTTGGAAGATCGGGCGTGTCATAACCCATTTCCATTAAAGCATATCTACATTCGAAACAGCTGGTTTGAGGACTTCCAGAGTAAAAAGACAGTAGATAGTCAAATGCCTGGAACGGAATCATACTTGTAAATCTCTTGACTGCATAAAACCTTCATGAAATTTGCAACCATCGGCTCAAGTTTGCAATGTGTGGCAGCAACTCCCAATTGGTGAAGCCCAAGCCCTCCATGCCTCACATCAACTCCGTCATCCTGTTCAGAGTAGCAAACGTTTCACATGGCAAAATAACATTGCAAACAGAAGGAAATGAGACACAGTACCATGTCTATAGGGTAAAACTTCAGCGGCTTCTTCTGGATTTTCTTCTCTCTTTCCCATGGTTCAAACTCATTTCCGGTTGCTTCCTCGAAGAGCCTCACAAACTCCATGACAGCGTAGTCCACATTATCCCACTCTTCAAGCCTTTCCTCCGCATTAGGGTCATCGCCAACTTTTCCTTTCTTGTAGTACAAATGCAGGTTGCTCTGTGGTACTGTAATAAGTTGCATGATGCAATAACTGCAGAAGAAGCTTGAAAATTAAGGCCAGTTGACATCATCACAAATAAACTCAAATAGCTGGAGACGGTCTAATATACTCGTTCAGTCTTCTGCCTAGATCACAACGAGAAAAGGCGCAGTTGTATAATATGCCATCTCTCTCAAAGATTTTCCCATCTCGCTCCCGCAATTTACTATCCTTGTGGACACTTCTCTTCCCATATATCTTCAGCTGCAGTCATATACGTTATTGTTGTGATCACAGATACAAATATTCACGTGAAATTTCAAATGGAGTGCTATAGATATCTTTGAGGTGAAAATTCTGTACTTCTGTTGAAAGGGACTCAAGTGCCTCTTCGCTTGGATCCATTTTGTACCATGGAACTCCTCTGCCATCGGGAGCAAGATCACTAACAATATCATACGCTTCAAGAGGCTGGGGTTCTTGTTTCTCGATGCTGTCTTTCAGCCATGCTTCGCTTATTACGGGAATTCCTCTTTCCCTGCAGCAGGATCAGAACTCTCAAGTGATACTTGTCAAATGAAAATTCCAGAACACTACTATTTTCGCAGCGGAATTAATAAGGGAACTCAAAAACACTGCTATTCTCAAGTTGGAATTAAGGGTAATGCTGGGAGACAATTCTTATCCTCCTTATAGGCAACAGTACAGCAATACACTCGAAGAGACCTATTCTACAACTCAAGAGAAATGTTCAACGCTTAGGGCCAAGGGAAAGAAATAATTACGCACATTGCTTCAGCAAGTTTACCCGTGCCACCTCTGTCTCGCTCCGCAGGGGATGCAATCAGGCAAGTTACACCTACAAGTGTTTGTAATAACAATTACAAGTCTAGACAGAGTACACTTTTATCTGCAGAAAATATGTATACAACATAAGCACAAATTACCAATCACATGGTTGGCAACTTTTCCTCCGTGTTTTTCTATTTCTTTTCTCCAGTATTGCTGCAAATATTGATACACAATCAGTAAGCACCACAAATTGGCAAATGCACAATTGATAACGACAACATGACTGTGTGTTACATACATGAGATGCACTAAGACGGCCCATAAGCGACATCAACATCCCAGTAAAAGGCTTAACTGGGATGCTTAAATGCTTCTGAGGACGGCGACCTGGGTCCTCGTAATCCTTTAGCAACTACACCACAGATGAGCTCGTTAAGTTGACATAGATATTAGGGGCTATAACATAGCAGACGCGCTAAAAAGAATAAAGAGGCAACTGCGAATTACATCGGATGCAGGAGAGTTGAGGACACTATCTGGCAACTTGATTGGTTCTAGTTTCCTTGGCGGATCCTTTGTAATAAATGTACAAGTTGCCCACTCACTATAAGATCCGGTGCAAAAATAGCGTATAACCCTGAACTCCAAATCGCCATTGCATGCTGGACATTTATCTAATGGACCGTAAAACAGCAAGTCTTGACTGTCCAAACATTGAATCGAATATGATTAACAGTTGCAAATAATCATGCAATGCTCCTTTACATTAGCAAATGAAATTAATTGCAAACAAAAACGGACTAACCATTTCCGTAGAATGGTGGAATCAGAGCCGGAGGAGTCCTGGCCATTAGCTTCCAAGATTTCGCGCATCTGTTCGGTTGAAAGGTTGTCCTTGACCGCTGCGCAGAGCTTCTCATACTCGGCAACTACTTTCTCCGAGGATTTTCCATTTGTATTGCCGTTGTCACCTTCAGATTTGGCCTTCTTTGGAGACTGCTCTGCCTCATGAGCCTTGTTCTCGGCTTTCTGCTTCCTCGTCGTCACTTTGTCCTCTTCAGCATTTCCATGAGAATGAGACCTTGTCTCATGGACCTTGATAACGTTCAGTTTACACAAAACATATAGTTAGTAAGCTGCTAAGGCCTTTTACTACCCTAAACCCTACTCTTAAAAGAAGGAAATGGGGAGAAAATTTGACAATATAGCTACACTTTTTGCCTTTTTTTCCCTTAATATTCTTGCAGATAAAAACAAACTAAACTTAGACGTAGGGTGCCGAATTTTACCAAGTAACAAAGAAACATCTGGTGTAATTGGATTAAAAGGTAAACGTTTTAACTAGTATTCCATCATTTTAAACCCTAGGTACTTTTCTGAAAGTAATCATAACTATTTTGTTCTTCCTTCTCTTTCGATTTTTGGCGGTATATTCTCTTATTAAGATCCTACGAATAATTCAATAATGTTTCAAGAAAAACTAGAACCTAGTGTTTTATGGCCGCGAAGAAATCCTCCTAACCTTCTGGAAGAACCCACTAGCTAGCTAAATTTGTAAGACATAATACTCTTCCCTTAATTTTTGTTTACTTAAGTTCAAAGTAAAATATTGGTTACAAAGAACTTAAAATATTAATTACAATACTTCTATGTATTTGACACAATCACCATCTCGACGGTGAGATGATAATTGTAATATATTCAGATGAATTATTGTGACAGTAAGATGTTGTGATTGTATAAATATAGGGTTCTTTGGATATAGGCCCTCCAAACTCCTATTTTCCAAGTAAAAACCCATCTAAATTTAAACATTCAAATAAAATCCAAATTTCAAATAGCCTACCATGTAGACAAATATATGACCAACTATTACAATACAATTACAACTTATGCCATAGAATCCTAATTTGGTCAATAAATGTTATTACTCATCCTAATTATGATGAGCAATTAAATCCATATGGATATTTTACCTTTCTTGTATCATAAATATTAGCAACATATATAAATTAATTTACCAAATTTAAAAGAGAAAGACAATCTTGTACGGAAAAAATAATATTGTTTGAATTATGTAATTACCTACATACAAATTAATTTATCTACTTATAAAATATTATACTAATAAACCTGCATTTTGAATCATGTAATTACCTACATACAAATATTATACTAATTTACCTACATTTAAATTAATCTACCTACTTATAAAATATTATACTAATTTACCTACATTTAAATTAATTTACCTACTTATTAATATTATACTAATTTACCTACATTTAAATTAATTTACCTATTCCAAAAAAAAAATAGTGATATTAGATAATGTTCGAATGTTGTGGGTTTGTGCTTGTAGGCAATTAAATAAACTTTTAATCTAATGCACATAAATCATGTAGGTAAATTAGATCGTTTTGAAAGTAAACTAGACCCTTTAAATTTTGGTTTGATGTAATAGGTATAGACTATTTTGTAGGTAAGTATTGTGCGGAACATATAGCTTTTGTTTTGTGTATTAGGGATTGAAATATTAGCCGAAGCTGTTTTTAGGTTTATTGTTGTGTTGGTAGGTAAATTAACTTATATATGTAATGCACAAAATTATGAAATTAGTATTATTATTTTTCAATTGGCACGTTATAACAATTTGAAAGTTAATACATTGAATATACAATGAATGGCATGAATTATTTTGTAAAATATATAAAATTAATTAAATGGATATAACAAGTAACTGATCCAAAAACCCCATCCAAGTATTAATAGGGGTAGTTTAGGCATTCGAAAAATACACAATTTGAAAAGTCAAACTTAATTAAAGAATTTGTTTAGTTGGAGGCTAGTCAATGGGCTTTATTCAAGAAAACAAAAGAAGATGGGTTTTAGTAGAGGAAAATATAGTTTCAAGGGGTAATATCAAATTTTCAGTAAATTATATTATAGTCTATCCCAAAAGATATTTTCAAAATTTGGCTCACAAGAATTTAATAAACTCAGGTTCAAAATTTACATAAACAAATAAACCAGAATTGGTGTCGCAATAACAGTAACACTAAGAGCTTCAACTAGACAAAAAAGTAAGGACTGAAACACATACCTTCATATTTCAGCTACAAGTTCTTCTGCAGGAACAGATTTAAGAACTGGATATTTTTTTCTGCACTGTCTACTTCAACTTACGCTTTTGGTGGAATTGTATTTTTACAACAGCAAAACAACAGGTCGAAATAGTTAGAGTGGGTCGGGGATATAAGCAGATGAAGACACCCCAAAAGGACACGTACATTCCTTTCCTGCAGGGCCTTCAGTTTCTCTGTCGTTTCATTTGTGCGACAGGTGTTGTGGTATGAAACGTGTCCATCTCGGAAGTTTTAAGCCGCTTCAGCCTTTGGACATGTGGAAATCTAACAGTTGAATGTGAAAGACTTTGCCTTACTCTTGCATGCAAAATCCATGTTTGTTATAAAAAGATCAAAGTTTGAGAGATAACTTTTTTAATGGTAGGTGCAAGGTAGATGTAAAATGTCACATTAAAATATAGCACAAGAGGATAACAAATAAAGACAGAAATATATGATGTTACTGATATTTTTCTTTCGTTCTCTTCTTCTTATATTTTCTGTAACTTGAAAACATACGGAGTGCTCTATTTATATAGCAACTCCAAACTGATGCATTAACTGCATATTGAAGTTTACGACACTCCTTTGACAATACAATCTCTTTGTATTTACATATTCAACTTTTACTTTGCATGGGCATTGAAAACTTCTGCCCATGTTGAAAAATTCTACTAATGAACTGTGGGCATTCATTACCCACCAGACTTTTCAACAATGTTTTATTTTTCTGCATATTTTGAGTGTTACAAGATTAAATTTCATTTTTGTTTAATTATCTTACTGAGATTCTTACTGAGATTTTGTATAACACACGGCTTGGTCTCCTCGGGACTTGTGGGGATGAGGCCAAATGTAGCACAAACAAGGCTTGGAGTTGTCGAGGTCAAGGTGTTGGAAGTTATCATGTTTTATTTGATTGCTTAAATGTTAAAATGGCGTTTGTGTTCTTTTCTATTAATAAATTTAGTAACAGAATTTTTAATTTAACTAATTCAGTGTTTGTGTTTAATACAGTTAATCAATTCAGTTTAATCTGTAGAAGTTCTCTTAAAAGGCATTTAAAATTATTTAATTTTTTTTTGAAATACACATAAATTAAAATTTTTAAATAGAAAACAAGACAGCATAAATCACCACCCCACCTTATTCCAGCCGTCACCCCTCTCTTGATCTGGTCATCCTCTTCTTGAGAGCTAATGGCGCGTTGTTCTCCTCGACATGTCAAATTGTTGGTGTCACCCTAACCGCATCATTATGCTGCCCATCATGAGAAATTATTAGATGGTACAGTATTACCACTTACCACTGATAGCCAGTAGTACCCACCAATAAATGCATGACATGTGGCAAAGTAATTAATAAATGAAAATTGATGGCTAGGTTTTACATGATTCTAATGCAGTTAGGTCTCTACCAAAACCAAAACTGATGCCCGCCTCGTCTACACCCTCATTTTCCCCAAAACTGATTCCTCATATCCCATTTTCCTTTTTCGCCCAAACCAAAAACTTTTGCCGCCTCCCTGTTTACTTGAATTTCATCCCCTTTTTTTTTAACAAACAATAGTATCTAAATTGAGGGGATTGGAGAGAGGACTAAGCGTTGTAATAGACTTGCCATAATATTATGGTTAAAATTCGCCTTTGATGAGAATCGAACCTAAGACCTCTCACTTATAAGTGTAGAGGAATACCACTAGATCGTAGCATTAAGTGGCGAAGCTCATCCCAAAATTAAAACCCCCAAACTGCAAAACCCAGAAATCTCAAGCTACATGTATTGGAATTTTTTTCTTGAATCTGACTGCAATTTGGTATTTTTGTTGCAAAACTGATTTGACACGCCCCAATCCCGATATTCCCAAATATCAGGGTAGGCACGTGTTGGCTGACACTCGAGGGTGACAAAGCCATTTTAAACATGCATGCAAATAAACGATATAATTAGAAAGAGATACACTAGTATATAATCGTGTTCAGAGCATACAACTAATCAAGAATAAAGTGAAAGAATTATAATAGAAAGGTATGAACCAAGGGGTGGGTCCTACAATGAGGAAACTCGAAGATACCCATGTGGAAGTGCTATGACGCTGGGATCGTGTGCCTTGATTCTAACTCCCGAGGGAGTGCAAAAACAAAAAATATGAGTGGACCATAATTTATATGAATAATACGAAAATCATTTTCTTTCTGAACATACTAACCCCCTGTTTTGAAAACATATATAATACTATATAGTAGGCTTTATAAAAAACAATCCTAGCTTGCCATGCAAAACATTCGTAAAACATGTATGTAAAACCAATGCTTAGAAATGGTAATATCGTCGCTCGAAGGCATATCCGTAATCTCATCAATGATGTACTTAACTAGAGGTATCATAGTTGCCCGAAGGCAATACCTGTCCATCACCCGAAGGTGAAGCTGTACGACACTGGGTTATGCCAGTGAAAAAACCAGGGTCTATCACCTGAAGGTGAAGCTGTACGACTCTGGGTTACGCTAGAGAAGAGGATATATAACATCACACATCGACACTAGCTGCGGGCTAGTGAAGTTGGGGGTATCATCATAATCGCCCAAAGGCAGTACTTGTTCATCACTCGAAGGTGAAGTTGTACGACACTGGGTTATGCTAGTGAAAAGGGGGTATCATCATAATCGCCCAAAGGCAGTACTTGTTCATCACTCGAAGATGAAGTTGTACGACACTGGGTTATGCTAGTGAAGAAACCAGGGTCCATCACCCGAAGGTGAAGCTGTACGACTCCAGGTTACGTTGGAGAATAAGATATATAACATCACACTGTGTCCAATGGCCATAGACATCTACATACCCGTGTTGTGTGGATGTGCTGTATGATAACCCACTAGATAACTACTGAAAACATACCTCAAACATCTCATATCAAATTCGGAGCTCAAAAGCTCAAAGCCACATCTCATAAATCCATGGTAAATCACGTTCATGAATCCATAAAATAAATCATATTCGCAA